CATCTAAGAGACGGCTGTCAATATCTGTGCGCTTAGCTATTGCGCACAAAGAACACTTGCTGTCTCTTCGATCGGCGTGTCATAATCGAAGCGGTGACCTATGGCGCGTGTCAAGAATGGTCGGTCATCAGTTCTACGCGAAGCCGTCTCACGCACATTGCAGCAGATCAATGTGATCGACCTGTAGTCGCTTGAGGCTTGCCTTCACGCCGTCGAAGATGTGCTGGAGCATATACCTGTATTGGCGAAAAGCAAGCGGCCACGGGGTTCAAGAACGCACCTTGCGACTGAGGCCCTTCTGGTTGATAATCCCGATGTCTTCCGGCTTCTTGCCACTCCGAAGGACATCGGTGCCGGGGTCCTTTGGGATTGGAGCGAATAGCTGCGGAAGAAATACGCCTGTCAGACGGCGCATCTGTGAGCGTAGATGTCTGTGTCGCATACTTTCGTCATGATAACGACCTCCTCCCGAGGGAGCTCCAGCTTTCTAATCGCATTCCCTAAGATGATCTCTGACAAACCATGCGAATAGAGCTAGATGCAGTGATTTCAAGACTCATTAACAGTGATTCAGGATCACTGAAGTGAAACGAGATGACTTACGTCGGCGGTGTCGAAGGTCGTGATACCATGGTCCCAACTAGTGAACGCAGTGAGCATGGATGAGATTACGCACGCGGTGCCAAAGGTCCGTAATACTTACGCGAACTTGATATGGTTGATGGCCTCTTCCTCAGGGAGAACCCATCCCTGCCATTCCTTCGAGCCGTACGACATGCAGCCGAGGATGATCTTTGAGACCTTCAACCCCGAATTTCCGAGGCGGACTGAGACATCGCGTCAGTCGAGCAAGATGGTCGGGAATCAACAAAGACACTCCATACCATATTGCATCTTAGGAGCCATTGAAAGTGGTGAGTAAAGAGGGATATCTAGAATGTGATCTGCAGTCTGCCAAACTGGAGTTGATAGCCCTATAGGCAGCGCCTTCGCAGTGATCGCTATATATACGAGACGACAGTAGGCGCTTCTTGAAAGGAGGTGAGGCTGACCTTAACGAAGCTTCGGGACAACCAAGTAGTTAGGATGCCGCGCCAAACCGCCACCGTGACGATCAAACCTGCAACGGGCTTTCGTGCCCCGAGCGGCTTACTAGTCATCTGCGCAGAACCGAATGCGATCGGATGAAAGTCCAAGGCTAGGCGCCTGGACAGTTCCCGACCGGACTATTGGATCGTTGCAGCCAGACGAGCATAAGTACCATTATCAATACGCTTTGGAGAAACACGTACCATTGCACCTTATCATCGCTCCCATTCGAGATCGGCTCAATGATGTGTGCACCCGGCTGCCTATGAGGAGGTTTCTCATATTCCCGGTCCGCGCCTACAGCCCGCGCCTCCACCAACAACGATAAGCGCGGTACATTGTTTCGGTAGCCACTACAACCTAGACAGGGCTGGCACCAAACAAAACCATCTGCCATTGTGAGTAGAGAGATCAGACTCGTCTACAATGCTGGGAACAGTCACTAGGAGGATAAGCTATCCTAGTTGTGAGTCATTTCGCACGATGGGTACTTCGCTACTAGTACTGTGCCCCGAATGAAGGTTGCTGCCGCCCTCATGTCAACAAAAGGCCGGCTCACTAGTCATAGTATGAGTCACTGACACACAGTACGCTTACATGGGACATACCGGTGAATCTTGAAACAAGGATATGTGTGATGGATACATACAGATCATCGTCGCATGGTAGACCTTCAGACAGGACGGTCATGAGAGTACCATAGGATGCATTCAGGTTTGCCCTTGCGATGGGCTAAGAGGTCAACCAAGAATGAGAGAGTAGCAGATCATCGGCAATATACTACGCAATGTGGTAGTATTATAGTGAAGGTGGGTAGGAGCCTGCAAGTACAGCATGGGAGAAAACCAACCATGTCTAGTCAACACCTGCATGAAGTCACCGTTAGCTGAGCTATGCGAATTCAATCAGCTGTGAAAAGATTCAGCCATGAGAGGACTGACCAGTTCTCGAGCCTGTACGTGCTGGGAGATTGGCAAACTTCCAAGCTGTCCCCGTCGCGGTCAGAATAGCCTAGGTTCGGAATTTACACTTCACTGCGAAACCATGAATATTGTAATGGCAGCTCCGCCGTTCTGCACCCTGTAGAGCTGACATCTCAAGAACATTGATCCCAAAGAGAGTTGGCGATACTTCACTGAAGGTCTCTCGGCATGAAGGCGACCAACGAGCTCGGACGCAAGTGCGGTCGGGAAGTGCCGCAGCAAGTCGGCGCCAGCTCAGCTGTAGAGCGCTGACAGGCAGCAACGCTAGTCCGTAGTACCCGCTCAGTTCGGAGTGCGTTAGTTCAATGATGCATCATTGAGCATCATACATATTAATGCGTGGGACGGAACATGCAAGTTCCATATGCCTTTTGCCTTCATCAGGCGAGGAATGTACACCTGCGTACGTCATCGACTTTCACAAGAAGACGGCGAACAGAGCAGAAGGAAGACCTACGATTGTCAACACGACTCGAGGACAACCAGCAGTGGCCGGTCGAAAATTACCAAATAAGTAGAACGTTCCCAGTGTCATACCACCATCTCCACTTCCGTCTGCTACCGCTATCGCAAACTGTCCACGCTCCCCGAGCCCCGCTTCGTCGTCTGCACGTCGACCATGTAAATCGGTGGACGGCTCACGTCCGCGAAGTCCCAGTTCGTGTCCTTCTTCACCACGCTCACCCCGCCCTCACCGCTCAGCATGCTCAGCGCGCTCGGCGCGCGTTGCTGCACAGGGCTTGACGCCCCGCTCGCGGGCGCCTTCTCCGGGTCGTTCGAGAAAACGTCCGCGTCGAAGTCGGACTCGAGCAGGACCTGCTCGACGTGGAGGTAGTGCGCAAGGCCCTTGCCGAAGCCGAGCCAGGAGACGACGCCGAAGACGCCCGCCCCGCACTGGACGAGGAAGGAGACGACGACCATGGAGGCGAAGAAGGGCCACTCGATGAACGTCCAGACGTAGACTTTGGCGTCGAACATGACGCCCCAGAAGAGGACGTAGGCGAACGTGAGGAACGTGAAGCAGGCCATGAGATACTTGAGTTCGCGGCGGATGGCGAACCATCCCTGGGGACGTGCGGCTGATTAGCGGGTTGAGGCGATGCGTTGGGTTACGACGTACCATGACCATCCAAGGAACGATCGTCTGAACGAAGCATAGAAAACACGGGGGCCGTCAGAAGGAGCTTCACAAAATGTAACGAAAGATACTTGCCACAATCGTGACGATTATGAGAGCGTAATAGAGCCCAGGGCGCATTGCGAGCATTGCGATAGAGCTGTTCCGCAACTGGTCCAGCCAGAGACTGGTGGCGGTGAGCGTGAAGAAGAGCGACAGCTCGACAAACATGCTGTTGATCAGGAAGTACTGCCAGACGCTTGGTCAAAATCCACGCAAAGCTATCAAACGGCAGACAGCAAGAGCTCTGAACTTACTCTGTACAACCGCATCACACCTGGGGGAGGATCGACGCGGCGCACGGTGGAAATTCTGTAGCCCTTCACTATTCGCAGCGCGAGGAATGACGTAGAGCACAGCGCGGTGAGGTGTAGCACGAGCTCAGGGATCTGGAGCGCGACGCGGGTCGAGAAGTACTGCGGGAGCACGTCGAAGTGGCATGGAGTGGCCGCGTCCAGGATGAGCTTCTGGTATCGGAACTGCACGTCGAACGTCCGCCAGAGCGTGTAAATCGCCCAGCCGCTTTGCAGCACACGAGCGAACAAGACCGCCCAGCTGTACATATCGTAGGCGTCAATGAGAAGAGTTCTTGTAAGAAGGTAACCATGATACTGACATATGTGGGATAGAGTTGTATAGGATCTGTTCAACGCATTCGTATCTCAGTCGTTATAGGAAATTGGAACATTGACGAGAATCAATACGTACGCCGAACGTTGATATTCCCAGCAGCCAGAATTGTGAGGCAATCAAGGCAAGGTCTTCCCTGCGTGAGTTGTCGAGGCTATCCCGGCACCCCGGGTGAGAATCAGGGTTCGATAGAGGGATGGAGTTGGACATACATTCGCTGCGGGTACTCGAGCATGCGCGCGCAAGTCTTCGAGAACGTCACTTGCTTGTTCCCGTTGTATGTGAGCTCTACACCAGTCACATTTCCATTCGAGTCCTTCACGGGTACCAACGAAGACGCGTCAGGAGCCCGTCGGACGAGTGCCTACGCCGGAGTCCCACAGGAGTTTTAGAGGAAGGTGTCATCAACGTGAACATGAAGTACGCACCGAATACCGACTCTCCTCCACGTCCTCTAGAAACCTCGTCACCAGCGACCCGCTCACGTTGTAGCTCACATGGGGGTCCGTCGTGTAGATCGTCTCGCAGTCCTTGAACACGGTCCCGATCGGGACCGCGGTGCAAAGTCTGAGCTCTAGGTTATCCCCGTTCCGGAACAAACGCGCGACTTCGTTGTTGGGAACGTCGGCCGTCCGCACGACGTCGTTGACAAACTTGAACGAGCTCGCGTCCTCCGAGTATATGAATGCCGCGGTGAGGCCTTGCGCGACGCAGTGGATGACGCTCAGCAGGAAGAACGCGAGCGTGTGCGGGGTGAGCGTGATGCGCGCTAACTGAACAGCCGTGCAGTGCACGCGAGGAACCGCTGAGCGCATGTGCAGGCAGCGGATAAGACCATGTGCGTGCACTCACCATGGACTTCAGCCTGATAAAGAGCATCTTGTTCGTATCCATCGTTGCTGAACTAGCGGAATACCAGACCCGAAGAGAAGACGATCAGAGAGAGGAACGGACTGTCAAAGTCCAGCAGACTAGATACAACCAGTGAGAGACGACGAAAAGGAAACGTGAACAGAACGAACGAAAAATGAAGAGGCCGAGTAGGCTCTGCCTACGGGGGAAAGGCTTTCAAGGAACGCAACGACGCACGTTATGAACGACCTGCTCGGAACAGACGCGTCTCGGCTGCTGAGCCAAGTGATGGGGCCTCGGTGGCAGGCAGCAACGGTGGCAGTGTGGCGATCTCTGAATTAAGTGGCTTGATGGCGGGTTGCAGAAGACACACAGCAGGTCCCAGAGATGAGGCCGCGTCCCGGACGAATGCAGGAGCTTTAGACATACGAGCACGCCGTAGGCCATGAATATATGGCATGCTGAAGTGCTCGGAATGAAGCTGGTTGTCTTCACGGGAGTGATTACCGTCATGGCAGCTGTAAAGTCGGCATACGGCAGATGGGGCAGGTGGTCAAGCTCTCACTCCAGACGAGATCTCCGGAGTGCAATCATCCTTCCCGCCTTCTTCTCCTTGGAGCATCATCAGCGCGATTCAATCGGACGCGGCTCTCGGAATCCCATGACGGCTGTGCATCCGCACGAAATGTGCAGGAATATCAACGTTCCATCAGTGATCACGACAGCCAACGTCAAATCAAAGCGCGGATTGGTCTCAGTTGTACGACATGGTCGCGGAAGCTAAGCAGTTCGGTATGGGTTTCAATATGCATATCGTTCAGAATCCAGAGCAGTCGAGGCGATAGAGAGAGGATGTAGAGGCAGCAGCAAGAAGCCGTTACATATGAATCAGGAGCATGCCACCAACCGCCCTGATCGAAATCCATATTTGAGATCGTATCGTAACACTTTAACGCCGCGGCAGTGTACCCCGGCCACAGAGCCTATTCTGGGCATCACCCAACGCAGAGCCTCTCGCCGGCGAACAGTAGGACTTGGCTTGAATACGCTCAGACAAGAAGAAAGCACACCGATGATGGCACTCTCGACCACCCGTGGCCCTCAACACATATGTGTCACAGCACAGCGGACCAGCGTCGCTGTGGGCGACGAATGTCATCGTCGGATATGGCCTCGTACGAATATGTAGACCCAACAGCGAGAGATGATGAAGACTGTACCGAAGCTTGTCCTCGATAGGCAACGCCAACAGCAAGCAGGCGTGGACACGACTCCTAGATTGCTCCACTAGATGAACGCGATGGATCTAATAGTACAACGACATGCCTCTAACTGAGCGCGCATCGGTCCTCAGTAGTGCTCTGGAAGATCGAAGCCAGCCGTGTGCAAGAGCGTCGCAAACTGTGATCACGCCCGCTCCTCAGCAAATCATCACAGATGTAGATCAGCGATATTCTCACCTGGACCTTTGCGATCGACTTGATCTGCTCGAAGTCGTAGCCCTCGCGGTCGCTCAAGTCGCCTGTGGAACACCGCCAGCGTACAATCAGACAATTTCCTCTTGAGCGGAAGACGGTTCAGACGCACCGCTGTTGTGGTACATAGGGTCTACAATGGGACCTGCACGTTCGAAGACCTGGGTGGCAGGGAAGCCGTTCGTGTGGAAGCTCTGCAAACGTTATGGCATCGGCGATCAGCCTAGACTATAAGCGAGTGCTCTGTAGATACTTGCCTGGTGGTCACTGCAACATGCCTGCACAGATGAGAAGCCGTCAGTGGATGATTGAGCGCAAAGCACACGTCACGGAATACCGACAGGTGTGAAGCCGACCTTGAGCTCGGGGCTGTAGATGGCGGAAAGGTTGGCCACGAGCTGGGTAACCTCACGCGTCCCAATGCTACATTCCATTCAGCAGCGTGCGACCGGCAAAGAAACAGGGAAACGTACACGTCAGGAAGCCCCAACTGAGGCGGCTCTCCAGCAGCGTGGTAGCCAAGCATGTCCGCCTGCACCATGAGCGTGAGGTTCGCGCCCTTCTCGTACAGCTCGCGCGCGTAGTAGCGCGAGCCGTACAGGCCCTGCTCCTCCCCGGCGAACGCGACGAGCTGGACGTTCTTCCGGAACTTGAGGCCCTTGCGCGCAATGACACGTGCGATACCGAGGAGCGCGGTCGTGCCCGAGCCGTCGTCGTCGCCGCCGGGGGCCCGTACGCTCCCGAAGGACCCACGGCTGTCATAGTGCGCGCTGATGAGGACCGTCTCAGTCGTGTTCTCCGAGCCCTCGTACAAGCTACGTCACGGCCAGCAATCAGTTTCTAGGGCGATACATAAAGCCGAGTCCCAAGCGAGACGTACCAGACAACGTTCGGCGCAAAGCCGCTCAAGAATGGTTTGAGCGTGCAGCTCGCGCCGTGCGCCTCAAAGTTCGCCTTCAACCAGTCTGCAGCGATCAGGACGCCCTTCGAGAACGAGTGCCGCGACACGATTTCGGACTGGGGGCTCTCGCCCGAGAGGTAGCGCACGTCCGCTCGAAGCTGCGGCACGGAAATGTTGCTTACGATCGACGCGACGACGGGGTCGAACTTGAGTCCATGCAGGATCTTCTTTACGCGCTCGACGGCCTCCGACGGCACCGGGATGAACGGCACCGGGGAGGAGGGCAGAGGCGAGGCTTTCCAGAAGCGGGGCAGGTGGAGGTCGAGCGTGAGCGCGGTCGCGGGGTCGACGGAGATGAGCGCAGAGCTCTCAGTGCGGTAGAGGAGCTTCGCCGCGTTCTGGTTGCTCAAGACCGTCTGCTCACTGTCGCTGACCTCTGCGGGCGGGACGGAGAGGCGGGAGAAGAACACGTCGAACTCGTCCCGGAAGGTCGCGGGCTTGATCGAGTGGTCGACGGCCTGGTGCTGCAGCCAAACGAGCTGCTGAACGTCCTCGGTGAGCTGGACCGCAGCACCGGAGGTCAAGTGCAGCGTGGCCTCTGCAAGACAGTCGTCGTCGCCAGTGATGAAGACATTCTGCTGACCGTGCGTTCCGTAGTAGTACTGAGACAGGCAGGACTCGGAAACCTCTGGGGTATAGGGGGCCACGAGGAGGAGAGCGAGAGGGACAATGGGGTTGAGCAACATCGTGGAGTAGATTGCTCGTCGTTGCTGGGAACGATGAGCAACCCTGCTGAACCAGCGCCGAGCTGTCCGGACTGCGCGATCGTGCGACCCAAATACGGAGCCCGGAGGCCCGGGCCGGAGGCTGGCTCAAGTGCCCTAAGCAACCTTGGAATCGAATCTAATTGAGGGCAGTTTTGGACCTCTCAATGATTGATACGTCCGAGAGAACATTGCACTGAAAGTTCATATCAAGAAGCATCGACATATCTTACAACTCGAGCGGCACCGTTACTGGAATCTGTCAATGCTACTCTGTTACTCGCGAACCGATTCACTTCTTTTTCTTCCCTTTTGTCTGGTCTTCCGCCTCTATCCATCGCTCCGGTACTCCACGGCTTATCAGAAGGCCAGTCACTGCTTTGATCTGTTTCCCCTGCACCATGACCTCTAGCAAGTTCGGTTTGCCATGAACTGGAGAGACTACATCGACCATTAGTACATGATCTCTCCGCTTGGATAATGGAGGGCATACCTGACGTTGAGCTCGCGCATGTCTTGCGCAGCTCCTCCGCAAGGTCGTCGGCTTGCAGGCCAAATGTCTCGTATCCGGTTATGAGAGTGCACGCCTTCCTCCCTTGCCGAATTTTGACGACGACGGACACCGGCTTCAGGTCTCCTTTCCTGTATCACGGACGTGCTATCAGCCACCTGGGCCACTGTCATAAGCGATACCCAAACGTACTTCCGTATCGTATCACGTCCCTCGACACTAATTTCATGCCAGGTTTGCATGTGTGCCCGGATACGCTTAAGGACCTCATCGCGCTTCAAGAACTCCGGCGTGTCTTGGCCCTTGACAGAAACCGCTCCAGCGAGGAACTGGTCGGAATCGACGTTGATGTACTGCGGATCGTTAGCGTTGACGAGGGAGCGGGAAGAGATGTAGTTGTTGACGATGTCTTTGATTTCCGTGATTGTATAGAGTTCTGACGTGCTGCGAGGAGAGGGAGCGAAATTAGCCTCCAGGAGCGCCGTGCAAGTAAACGATAACTCACTCCTTCTCAGCTGCAACGAAGAACGGCACCGTAGTACCGAATGGCTTCCAGAACTCCGAGACGCGAATCTCGCTCTTTCGCTTCTCCTCCGCCTCCTTCTCCTTCTGTTCTCGGTCCCCGGCCTTCTTGGCTTTGGCCTCGAGATCGCCGATCGTACGGTGCCGCCGCATAGCCAGCACCGCTGGATGCTGAGGAGACACCGCTGAATACTTCTCGCTCAGCATACCGACGGCGGCGTCAGTTCTGAACTCGTACCGGTAATGACAACATCGCCTTTGGTTTCCTTGAGCTTGATGAGGCCTTCTTTGGCACACGCCTTCAGGAATGATTTAACGTTCTTGTGGGTCGAATGCTTGACGTCAATCCAACTCGCATCTGGTGGGCAATGCCTCGCAACGTAGGTATGGAGCGTGCGTCACCAGGGCGTGGGTCGGGGGAACTCACCCGCAAGACCGTTTGGACCGAGTGCAGCCGCAGGACGAGCGGGGAGCACGTGTGAGCTCCAGAACGTCGACGCCGGTATAGGGAATGTTGATGGTGGGACATTGGCGAGTCTCATACCGATGGTGTGCAGGACTGCCGCGCGAAGACATGCGGAGACGTCTGCGGGAACCTGCGTAAGCAGGATTCCTACTAGCCGAGCACACACATACCTTCCGGGGAAAGAGATGTCGCCTTCGATTCGGCAGACTCGTCAGCATCTGTCGGTGCATCGGCAGTAGCTGGCGGCTGAGCATCTTGGGCTGATGTTCCGTCCGGGGATGGTTGCGCTGGGGGCGCGCCGGCGGTTTCCTCCAAAGAGCCCGGAGAGCCGTTTTGTCTTTCATCAGGAGTCTCCGCTTCCGAGGATTTGTTCTCTATGGGCGCAGGCGGATCCGCCTTCTTGCTTGGGCCCATCTCCCACAATGCGTCTTTCCATGTGTGGAGTATGTAGACCGCCTTTCCCTTCACATCCTCCTCCTCCTCTGAGCGCAGCGTGTCCGATGACACTGCCATGCGACCCACAGCGAGCGGCGGACCGATGGCGTCGCGATAGTACTGGGTCACCGAGACGACTTGGTCAGGAACGAGGGTAGAAGAGTGCTGAATCACTTTCTTGGATAAGGGCACATGTAGAGGTGAGTGACATGAAGAGAGAGAGAGAGGATGTACCTCCGGGAATCATCAGATCAGCTCCGCCGATGAGCTTGGGTACTACCGGGGCTGGTGTGGATAGGAACGGCAAGAGGTCCGGCCGCTTCCATAGAGTATAGACTGTCCGATCCATCAATTATGTGAGGTACAATGTTAGAGGTATATTACAGACCGGTGGGGATGAGGTCCTCGGACCCTTTCCCGATCGTAAACCAAAGAGGGTCCCCGTCCGGGGAGAGATATGCAACCTAGACATATTGTGAGTACTTGATCACATCATCGCCAGCAAGTGCGTACTCCTGGATCGTCTAGGTGTGTACTGAATTTCTGAGACTGGAGCCCGTCCGGTACGAGTGCATCTCCCTCCTCCGGGGGAAGATTCGGATAGGACTGGAGGACGCGCTGACGCAGCTTCCTGCGATCGGAACCTCGCAAGGGCGCTATGAGTTGATGAGTGCATCTTATCAGCTCTCCCAGGCAAGGTCGTACCCGATGTTTTGAGTTCTGCTAGTGGTTTCTTGAACATGGCTGGACGAAGATCGAGCTACCGCAGTCGCAGCTGCAGCTGAGGGTACTTGCTACTCAACGCGAGTTCCCACGCCACCCAAGTGAGCGCTGTCACCTGTCCGCATCCACAATATCTTCCACCATGCTCCTACCCACCGCCGTCTCGAGTTGAGGGGGACAAGCTGAAGTCCGATAGAGTACAAAATACTGTACTATAAGCGCTAGATCTGTCCACGTGATTTTGCGCTTATCTTACAGTATTTTGTACTCTATCGGACTTCAGCTTGTCCCCCGCCTCTAGGATATCGCCCCCTCAGCAACTCGAGACGGCGGTGGGTAGGAGCCTGCAATTCCACACAATACGCTGCCAGTTGGACTGATGTTTTTCCTTTCCGGGTCAAACCTGTGTTCAGACATATCTCAAGCGCCCACAAGCATCGCGGACATTGCTTGTCTATCTACTTCGCGTAGTGGAAGAAAATGGAAATTCAGGAACCAGAGAACTCTACAACTTTTGTCTAGGTACAACTCTCTCGTCTTATATTTTTGAGAACGGGACTCGCCGCAGAGCCTATAATTCTTTCGTCTGTTCTCCCTGCCAAACCGAGCCCCAGAGTTCCGGCCAGGTGATGCCATAGGTTGTGCACCGGGCCAATCTTAGGAGTCTCCGTCCCGCTTCCCCCCATCTCACTACACTCAATCAGCCCATGTTCACCCCGCAGAAGTCTAGTCGTCTTCTGTCTGCTTTCGACCCCGTCGCGGGTCGCTGGACGGCCTTACCTCTACGCCAGCATACCGTGTCCATCCGAAGGCCTTCTCCTCGCCCAGCACACAGTCGTACCGTCCGCGAGCAGCTCTCTATCACATCCTGCAACATCCACGCCGTACCCTTCAAGCGCGTCGAGCGCTCCCAGCTCATCCTCGACCGTATTCTTGGACACAAGTCCTCCGACATCATCTTCCTCCAAGAAGTCGCGTCGGACGTTCGGCAGTGTGTGCTCGACGACCCCAGAGTGCGCTTGCGCTTCCTGACGTCCGATGCGGAGGATGACACAGCTTTCCAGGGCGTACCGTTCGCGACGATGACGCTGCTCTCCAGTGAGCGTTTCGCCTCTCCGTTGCTCGCCGAGAAGAAGGACGTGAGCGACAGCAAGGGAGAGAGAGAAGGAGAGGGCAAGGTGATGCTCCACAGCACCTTCCGCATGACGCTGCCTAGCGGGTACGAGAGGGACGCGCTCTGCGTCAACTTCGACGACCCAGCCACGCCCGGCCATGTTCTGCGCCTCCTCAACGTCCATCTGGACTCCCTCGACTCGTCCTTCAGGCGTGCCTTCGAGGTACACCTGCTCGATCGTCTCCTCCGCGAGGGCGGATGCCGCGGCGGCATTATCGCAGGGGACTTCAACGCCATCGACCCCACGATGATACGCTCGTCGAGAGTCACGGGCTAGTCGACGCCTGGGTCAAGCTACACGGGCGGACGACGGGGGCTACATGGGGCGTGGGCGTCGAGCTCGAGAACGGACGTAGACCGCGGAGGTTGGATAAGGTCGTTATGCTGGGCCTGGAGCCTGTCGATATCGAAGTCCTTCAGCCCGGTCGCCTCAACGCCGGTACGCCCTGGAGCGACCACTGCGGGCTACGCTGCACCTTTACGGTCTGATCTGGTGAGTAAGCTCTTCTTGCCTATTCGACGCCTATATATAACGGTATATATGATACTTCCTCCCCAGACGTCGATGGTCGGACCGAGAAGGGCTATACCCTCATGTCGCTCTGTTGGCTCGTTGTTCGTATCGGCGACCGCTAAACGTATGTCTGTATGGAGATTATCTCTCTTCTGCGTCGACACCTTTGGCAGGTATGCAGCAGTCAAAGATGGCGAGAGGCATCTACAGCGACACCTGGGACAGCTTACTATCAATACCTTCGCAGCTTGCCACTTTGATGTCTCATCTACCGGCACTCGAAGTTTTCGGAGGCTTGTAACCAGCGTGTGAACGTCACTTGAAGCACAATCCTGAAACACATGACGAAGCTCAATTGAATGGCCACAAAACGTATCTCTCTCGGTCCGAGGCATGAGCGGCGTTCGGTAGTCCGTGCTACCATCACCGTAGGTGCCGACATTCCAGTGCTTCGGGGCCACCGCCGGTTGGAGGGCGAAAATGTAGTCTCGGTGAGCCCTATCCTCGCCAATAATCGCAAACTTCCGCCGACTTCAAGGCCACGCTTTTGTCGGGCCTGAAGCCATCACTCAATAGCTATATAAACTCAGCATCCCGGAGGCCAGATCTGCATCCTCATTCTTCTTAGCCTTCGCAGCCTTTCTTTCAGACCATTACTCAGCCCTTGACTTGGGAGCTATAATTCCCCTCCGCCTGCCCTCCGTGATGTTTGCTCCCCTTGCTGTCCTTGTCCTCGCGGCCACCTCCGCCTTTGCACTCCCCCGCTCGCTCCCCCGTGCTGATGACCCCTGCGCCAAATTTGGTGGCGCGGCCTTCGGCAACGCCGGTCCCTTCACCATGGTCACACTAGACTTGTCCAACCGGACCAATCTGCTGGTCCTCGGTCCAGCCGTTGGGGCTGGCTCTAGCGACCCAAGCCGCCGCTCGCTCGTGGTGAGCCGTTGTTACGCGTTTTCGGAGACGAGTGCCGCATGCTAAATCGTTCTCCTTGTTCCTGCCATAGACCGTTGAGACCTTCCCGACCGCCGACACCCCGACATACAAGCTCGTCAACGGCGGCCTCTTCGCAATGACCAACAACGTCACGGTCGGCGCGGCGGGGCTCGCCCCGGCTTCCGGTGCTCCCGTCTACTTCGAGGTGGGGTCCACGGGCGCAGCCCAGGTGTACTGCGGGGTGGTGCGTGACTCTTGCAAGGGGTGCACGCGCATTTATCTGACTCGAATCTTTCTAAATTATCTGCCACAGGTGGGCACGTCCCCCGCAGGACACGACCCTGCGAATCCGGCTCTCGTGGTTCCTGGTGGCTCGAACAGCTTTGCAATCTGCAATGCGACGAGCTCGGCGTCCAAGTCACCTCTCCAGGTCCTCATCTTCGACGCGGAGAACAATGCGAACCAAGGGTACGACTTCAGCACCTGCAACCCGGTCACCGTTCAGCTCGTTGGTGCATAAATCGTTGAGGGGTCCTTACCATGCCTACTGATCGAAGGGTAGTAGCACGGGACTGGCGACAAGCGATTGACTGTACAGTACATTCTTATGGCGCGCAATACATATTCACCGAGTTTCGGCAGTGCAATTTCTCGAAAGTCAGCTAAATCCAAGGAACCACCTTTGAACATCTGAGCAATGGAGTCTGACCCGCGATCCTGTTGCGCAGACAACCTTTTTCGTGGAGAGACTTTCTTGAGTGTCTTCCGGTCGTTACCGGACAAGGATACGGGGTCGATCGGACACGGTACATGGTCAAAACACAGAGGGTCTGCGTGATCGACGTTGTCCTACGGTCATGACAATTCGTCGTTGTAGGTGTTGGACCGGCGCTCAGTGCATCCAGAAAAGTTGGTTTACACCAGCATATACATAAAACCGAGTTTGCAACAAGATTGTAAAGCTATTCGAGCCATCCGGGACCGCGAGAGCCGGGTTCGCAGGATCGTGTCTTGCGAGAGACATGCCCACGGATAGTTTGCGAACAGTCCAACGAAACAGGTATTGCGCGTTCGGGAAGTCTTGTACGACCAGAAAGTATGAACGTATTATATTCTCGGGCCGGATGGAGTCAAAAGGTATATCATGGGTCAATATTTCAATAGTCGTCGACGGTCGGTCAGTTTGTGACTCGGATGGGAACGGAAAGGGGCGCTGTTCGGGAATCGGGAGCCTCACGAGTCACCGCATCGTAGCCTAGGTTCCTCATTACGAGCTGATGCCGGACCCGATTCCGGTCGAACTTGACTGTGTCGATACTAATGGACAATGATGTCAGAACAGGATACAGCAGCGGGACTGAACGGATATAATCGGTGCTACGCGGAAGACACTGTGTCTTGACGTGACCCGTACGATTCCCGATTCCGCAGGGATCGGACATCTCTGGCAGTGGTCGAGACTCAAAACAACCAGCCACCGCACTGACATTCCGCCATCCCTTGCTGCTCTGCTATACCCGCGCCATGCCACGCATCATGGAGCCTGTTTCTTTCTCCGAATTCGACGACGAAGTACTCCGCCCCCCGCCAAACGCTGCCGAGTTCCTGGCCGCTGCAGACGCCAGGACTGCACCTGCTGAAGCAGCACGCGCAGGCGCAGGTGCAGGCGTGGTTGCGGAAGAGGTTGCTGATGGTCGCATGGGTGTGTCACGGTTCCTTCTTCCACGATGGGCGGCGCTAACAACAACAATGACAGCCGCTCGGCTGAGGGACTACCTCACACAATTTGAAGAGCGGCTCGGCAAACGCTTCACGCACCTGGAAGAGCTGATCGACCAACGCTGCACGGCCATCGACCAACGCCTCGCGGGCACCGACCAATGCCTCGATGTCCTAGTCCCTCTCGCTGCGCACAGCACCATCCTCATGGCAAAGGTACGCTCTCACCATATCGAATCGAACTTGTCCTCATCATATGCCGTAGACCGAGAACCAATTCCATCGTGATCCCGACGACCTGGAGGAGGTGCCTTTCCCGAACGGGCTGCTCCCCTGGGGCAAAACCGTCGAAGGTTCAGCCTCCCAAGGTTCCGTCCGTGCAGTACGTATGCGCGCAATCTGTCCCGCGTTTATATAGGTGTTGACGGTACAGGACTCCTGTAGGAGGTAGAGCTTCCGGCGCTCAGCTCTGTTGGTGCGGTCCACGCGCTGGATACACCCCAGACATACGGCTACTTCAGAGGGTACTATCCGAACGACAGCGTACCCTCGGTGTCCTCTTGCAAGAAACTGATCCTGCTCGCAATTGGGCGGCCCTTAGATGCCCAGTGAATCGTTGCGTCCGTTCGCACCCTACCTTCGCCACTGTACGCCTATACACATCCGATGTACGATCGTTCACACCCCGGCCCCGGACAAACATATCCTACAGCTGCCTGTTAGTATCTGTATCCACGTCTGTAATCCCTAGAAATTGTAGCACACGCACTATAGATGATGGCTTCGTCGCACCGGAGAGTTCGGACTGCGGACCTTGTCAGTCTTCGTGAGCATACGGAAGTCAGTCTGAAGAAACGGACCGCCAACGCAAGGCATTCGAAATTTGAACGGCAAATGGAAAGCGAACATCTGACGGCCAGGTCGAACTAGGCGGGAATAGGACATGTACTATTACTGTGCTGCTTAGCGAGACACATGCTACCAGATACTGACACTTTCACGTTACAAGACCGAGACCGAACAATGCTACAGGCCGAAGAGAATCGGAAAGGGAAGAGAGCTACCACATACTGGTACAAGGTTGGTCACGGATACACACAGGGATGGGCACTCTGTCCGAGTCGGAGGAGGGAGCGACAATGGCGAAATATGTGGGCCAGAACGTGGGGGATGCAATAAAGAGAACGGAAAGCAACGAGTGGGGGGACTGACTGTCAGTCGGGTGCTGGGATGATTCTCAGAGAAGGAACGATCCGCGAATCTCGGGATCAGATATGGGGCAAAACGTTCCGAAGGGGAGGGATTACGACAATGAGCATGCGGACGCTAACGCGGTACGGCCACAGCACGACGTTCTGTGCGAATTCGAACGACTTCTGCCCGAATGTCTTCATTATATAACGGGGCGACGACGACAAGCCGCTGCTGCTACTGCGCCTGCCGTGCTTTTGGGGCGCGGAACCCGCGTCGGGGGGCGTGCCTTCCTTGTCCGAGACGAACGTCTCCTCGGAGTCCGAGTCCTCTGCCTCCGGGATGGTCGGAAGGCGCGGAATAAGGTGTGACATGTGCTTCTCGCGTTCCGGGCTGCGGATGCGGGGATGGCTCACCCCGTTGCCGTTCGCGCCGTTGACAGGGAGGTGGAGCCGGAATTCTTCGTGTTTCGTGTTCTTGTGGTCCTGGTACGGGTCCTCCAAGCCGAAGAGAATGATGGCACGAGGCACGTACAGCAGCTTGTCCACGGCTGTCGCGAGCGAAGACCGCGCCTGCTTCAGAAGATCGTGCCCCTTCGGGAGGTGGATGCCCACCGCCTCGAACGCGGCCATGTCCCTTTGTCTCCGCTGCTCCAGCTGCGCCAGACCCTGCTCGAGCGCCGTGAGACGGACGCTCTGCGCAGCACGGCCCGCGTCGGCCTTCCGCTCGTTGCGCTTCCCAATGCGCTCCACTTCGCCGAGGACTTCCGTGAGCTCGTCGCAGACCTCGCGCAGCTGCTCGACGCGCTGGACGCTCTCTCGTAAGGCGGCGAGCTCGCTCTCCAGCGCATCGATGCGTTTCAGCGAGGACTGCAGCACGCGGTTCGTCTGCCCGTACTTGTGCATAAGCGAGTCCTCATCCGGGTAATGGAGGGCGGTGTGCAGTTCGCGGGTGCGGTCTTCCAGGCGGCTTATCAGGTGCGACCAAGGCCGGATGCCCGTGGCGAGAACGAAGAGGGTTGTGCTGAACCAGGAGAGGGTATTCGGCTCGCCGAGCGCAGAGAGGACGTAGCGAAGGAACGCCGCACCGATGAATGGCGACGCTACCGCAAGGACGAAATACGCAAGCTCGTGCCTGCGTAGCTCGTGCCGGGCAAGCTCGGAGAAGCGGGCGAGCTTCTCGTCTTCCTCGGTCAGCGGTGACTGAGAGCGGGAACTATGCCCTGGCTTGCGGGGTCGAGCGCTGAGGTAGAGCTGCCAAGGGACTGCGCATATAGTCAGTGTTTCCGGGTGGTGTGCCGACTAAGGGTTGTAGCAGACGTACTCTCAATGATTTGGTGCAGGTAGAGGATCAAGAGGATGATGAGGAAGATGTTCTTCATGTGATCCCCGCCAGTCAACCAGTTGCCGATGGGCGACACCAGCGCCACGACAATGGACAAGTCCAAGTCGGCCCACGACCCTCGCTTCTTCTTGGTCGGAGTGGTCATCGCCGCAGCAGCCCCTACCTTTCCTCTCGCACCAGAATGAGATAGTGGAGCTTTGCCTTTGACGTCCGGACGGAAGGACAGAGCATCTTGATACTCCTGCTCGGTGGACTCGTCTTCGATCCCCGACCCCTCCGAAACGCTCTCAAAGCTCTCGTCCTCCATGTCATCCAGGTCCACCGCCGTTGATACACTCGCTGGAAGTCTGAGGCTAGATGCGCGGCGAGATGGTCCTGCTTCCGCTGCGCGAGTCGCCATGATGAGGGTGCGAAGGAGGTGTGTGCGTAGTGCGGTCCTGAAGCCGCGCGGACGACGTGAATAGCTGCGCGTAGCGTGGCCTGCGTGTGGTGGGACACGAGACAGACAGAGGTCTTGCTAAACGCAGATGAACATCCCGGAGATATGACGGCGGGGGTCGTCGTCGTCAGCGCAGGGGTCGTGGTGGAGGTTCACGCCGGCGACACGGTTATGTCGTGACGTCCACATGACGGTCCGCTGTCCTGTTTGGGAAAACGGAGCGCTCGACGTTGTCCGCGCTCGGAGTCGACGCGTGCGATCATTTGCTCCCCGGTTTGATCAACTCATGCGACTCAGCAGAGATTGATATGCTCTTACTTCGACAATGTTCTATCTATACAAAGTGGGTATGTACTACAGCAGCTTCCATTGAAGCTGCCATCTTGAACCAATCACCTCTGTACGACGACTGTACAGCCTGGTCGCAACACTCCCACATTGAACCGCCACGACCTCGAGCTCGCTGGCCGCCTCCTTCCTGCGTTTTGAGCATTCACGATGTCCACTTGCGCAAGACTTCCTGTGGAAGTTATAGAACGCATCATTGACTCATCTGCTGACGACCCACGGACGCTATCCACATTCTCCTTATGCTGCCGTACGTTGTTACCCCGCAGCCGGCGCCACCTTATCGTCCGCATCTGCATACGTACTTTTGAGCAGATGTACTCTGTGTCGGCATCTCTTGAAAGTCGCCCATGGCTTACCCCGCTTGTCGGCCAGGTCAAGATTTCTGCATGCTCCCCCGGCCCCAGCTCAGCTCCTGCTGCCTTGCTTGCCGTTGTCCCGTTGCCACTCTTGACCAGACTGCCCAATCTTCGTCACTGGACAATGGCCCAAGAGTGGTTCATCTCCAAAGGCGACATGTTGGCGGGAGTGCTTTCCTCAATCCTCACGCATTGGCGGGATTCGAGCAGTATGGCACCCGCATCCACGAACTGACCATCCGAGGGCTGCAGTTCTCCATCTGCGCCGATATGGGGCGCTTTCTGCTCGCCTTCCCGAATATTCAAAGTCTGCACTGCGACTCTTGCAGTATCACGAGGGAACGGCACGGTGCAGCCGACCACTTTGTTCGACAACGTCTCGCTGCGAAACTTCGGCTGAAGCAACTTACGGTGAGTGACATTGTCAATGCACCCAGCCTGGTCCACCATGATTGAAGACTTCACTCAATATAGATCTCCGCATCGACAGGCAACAGAGTAGTAGACCTCCCTGCAGAAATCTCGCAGGCCACCCTAGAACACCTCGTTCTGTGTATGTTGACCCCTCAGGTGGCTCTTGAAGAAGGTACGGCCTTTCCGCGGTACCAGATTCGGGTGAAATCTGACAACTACACCTGCTCTAGCACCTGTACTGTGTTTCCCGCGTCTGCGATCTCTCTCAATTGACATACAGATTGCCGATAACTACCGCAAGCAGGATAGCGAGGGCCATGTGTTGCCCATACTCAAAGTTGTCACAATCCTGAAATCTCTCACTTCCTCCGACACTCTCATTTGCAATTCCCTACCAAGCCTCCACTACTTTCTCTCCCTCGATGTGGGCACAGAGACCTGCCGTGAATTCGATACAGCCATCCTAGACTCTTCAGCCCGAGGAACACTGATCCTCCAGTTGCACTCGTGGGCCAGCTGTGCTCCTCAAACCTCCGGGAACAAATTCTGGACGTCTCGTGTTGAACAGCATTTCCCGAAGCTACACAGCAGGAACTCACTGAAAGTGCAATACGCTCCAAGCAACCGTAAGTCTTGCTCAAGTTCCCACCGAAGAGGCTATCGCTCCCTAGTCGTCGCTCACGCATTATTGTAGCTCTTAACTCGCGGACTCTGTCGCGCCAGCCGGTCGCCCATGAGGACTTCGTGACCGTGCTGACCGCTTCGGCGGACGGCAAGTGGTTCGCGACTGGGTCGAATGATTCCACCATCGTTCTCTGGGACGTCAAACAACCTGCTAGCACGTTGGATTGGATCGCGCACGAACGGCGCGTGAGCGACCTTGCCTTCTCTCCCGACAGCCAATACCTCCTGTCTGTCGGCAGTGACATCACTCCGAAGATATGGGATCTGGGCGGTCATCCTGGCCGGCTCGTGGCGACCCTCGACGGCCATGATAACTATGTGCGGCGCTGTGCGTGGGCGAACACTGGCACGCTGTTCGCGACCGGCTCTTACGATGGGTCAGTCCGAGTTTGGCATGGCCCTAGTATCCGTGATCACGCGTTCCAGCAGTGCTGCGTGTTTACAGACCCCCGTGCCGGACCTTTACTCCAAGCTCTCAGGTTCTCCCCCAGCGCTCGCTCGCTCTTGGCAATCCACCTTCCGCTGCCGGGGGAACCAGATGCAGTGCCTAGTTGGCGTGTGTGGCATCTCGGCGCGGACCCGAATACTCCTCCCAAAGCCCTCGACAGGCCAAAAACCAGCACGTTCGTAGTCGCTGCCCTCGATTCGACTGATCGGCACTTGGTGGCTGCATCACGCGACGGGTCCGAGGTGAACCTCCATGATCTCGAAACTGGGGAGGACCTCATGATCGCGACTCAGCCGGCCGCACTCTTGGAAGAGGTCACGAGAGTCATACTTTCCCCCAACAACCGTTACCTCCTTAGAGAGGTCGGCTTTGGCGGGGCGTACGACTTGTTAGACCTGGAGACCCATCGAATCACGGCGCTCAGTAGCGATACCATGCTCTACTCTCCTTCCTTCTTGCACGATGGGCAATACATCGCAACGGCATCTAATGCAGGAGTTTGTCTATGGAAGACTAGCGACTGCTCGTGCGCGGCGGTGTTGAAGAGCGAGGTTAGGGGGCTAGACGACTCCGCAAGTGTCCTCGCGTTCTCAGGAGATGCAGGTAGCCTGGCGGTTGGAGACCGGTCTGGCGACGTGAGGATCCACAGAATGGAGGACTTTGTTTGGCTTCGTCCATTGTGAACAGTCGTAGTCCTTCGGACGTAGACCAATGTATCCGCCACTGATTCAAAAGTCGGTACTCTTGTGGCTACGATTATGATGGCGACTCAGAAGGACGAGTACAAGCAAGAGAACTAGATAGTGTGTGGCTACAGATGGCTCGATATAGGAAAGTGCGAAGTGCCTAGAATCTGCTAAGGTCAGCAATGAAATGTTCTTGACGTGGAGAAGGCGCAAGCAAGGAACGAATGACATGATCGCCAAGTCTCGGCAGGGAAGGGGCGCTGAGGTTGTTCTCAATCACTCTTTTCGCCACTACAGCGAAGGGCAGGAGACGACAAGTATATATATGCTACAGATTGCCGGAGATAGATACAGGAGTGTACGAAGCGAGAATGTGCTACAGTCGCACAAAATGTCCTTGTTATGAATAAGGCGGCGCTCGCAAGGAACGACAGAACACGAAGAGATGAGTGGATCGACCTGTCGGAGAATAAACGCACAAATCAGGGAAATGAATACCGAGCCTTGCAATGACTTAGACGGTCTCCTTCACCACCGTCATATAGATCCCGCCAGATAACCCGTCCGAGCCGTTCCGCCTCCTCGAGCCCGGACCGAAGCTCCGCGGAAGCTTGTCCCTGCTCCGCACCCTTTGCAAATGCCTCGGGACAGCGAGCTCAGGGTGCAGCGCGAGGTCCGCCAGGTGCTCCTGGAACGGCGTGTCGTTCGTGTCAGAATCGTCAAAAAACGAGCCATACGTCATCGTCGAGGACGCGAAGCTCGGCGTCGCGGACATGACGCTCGGCGGCCGCTTGGGCGAGGCAGCGTGGTCGTGAGCACTCGATGCAGGAGAAGGGGGCTGGATAGCAATCATCGCGCTGCTCGACTTCGGAGACGGTGTGCGGGGCGAATCGGGGAGTACGACCGTTGAGGGCGGGCGCGGCCAGGGGCCTGCCAGGAGCGACTCCCGGCGGGACGCCTTCTGTGGCGATGACGTACGTCTTTGGGGCGACGATGAGACAGACCGCGGTACGTCGTGTGAGGAGGGCGGGACAGCCTTCCGCTGGACCGAAGGACGAGGAGCGGGAGGAACAGGAATGCTCATGTGCGGGAGCGCGAGGGCTTCGCGGCCAGTCGGAGACCCGACGTAGTCGAGCGTCGACTTGACGAAGGGATCGTCAGGGGAGGTCGACAGCTCAAAGGTGGATGCCGGCCTCTCTGGAATCGTGAGCGGGGTCAGCTTGACCTTCGTAGGTTGAGAGGGACGCCATGTGTCCCCCTGCTGTGATTTGACTTCTGCGATGAGACTGGGCGAAGACGGTTCGCTGCGAAGAGCCTGGGGGCGGAAGTCCTTGGAGGAGAGCGGGAGGCGGTCGGGTAGCCGTTGGCGTAGGACCGTGAAGCGGAACCAGTGGGCGAGGACCTTGTACCCGCGCCAGGAGTCGCTTCCTGGGGGATGTGCGAGGCCGGTCAGGGTGATCAGGATGAAGACGAAGGAACAGGCCGGGATCATCCACCACTCGACCTCGGTCCTGACAAGGTCAATACGGTCTGTCGGAGAGACGATAGACACCTCGGTGACGTGTGCGTGCACCACGCTCCAAGTGTCGATCGTCCACTTCTCGATCCCGTCAATTGCGGTGACTCGTGCGTATATGGAGAAGATAGTGATGGAGAATGAGATCAAGGACACAGAAAGGGAAGTAATGAGTGGTCTCAGGAAAGCGAAGATATTTAGATGCGGGGAGTCTGACATGTGACTGAAAACCACCAGGCCGCTGTCTAAGCGGCCACGGACGGCGAGGAAAGCGAACCCAACAGTAGTAATACAGATGGCGAGAGGAGGGATCCAGATGACGATTATGGAGACTGTAGATGTATCGATAGACGCGAAGCAGCCGAAGTCTTCGACGATGTCGAAACGATGTGATTGGACGATGACGTCTATGTCGATAGAGGCATAACCTAACTCAGATATAGATATTCGAAGACGAAGTAAACCGATGGGCCACTCACGAAGGATGATGTAAAGAACAGGGAGTATTAGGCTGAACGTAAGATCTTGCATGAACGTGTGAGCTTTCTGCGACACCTCCTGGCCAATCGCACATCGTCTTAGCCTTCGAGCCAATGCCAGAGCGCAGCCTGGAAGAGCTAGTTGGGATGCTAAGAGAACTCTTGTCACTTACGACCGCGGTAATAGAGCTTTCAGTTCAAAATCTGATCGCTCCATGATATAAGATATGTCCTCTTACCTACGTCACACCATACCGGCGAGCGTATAGCGACGCTTCCGGCCCATAGCAGCGCGTTGATTCCGTGAATGACGTTACAGCAGAACAGCCATGCTGCAAGCGAGATCACGGCTGCATTACGGGTGTGAAGCCAGACAGGCGACAAGAGGACGAGGAGACCTAAGCAGAGGAAAGAGACGACGGGAAGCTCTGCGCGCATTTTCGCGTTCTCGTCCTTCTGTCGTGAATGCGTCTATAATGCGCCCAGAGCCAGCTCAGGTATCGCAGAAGCTGGCGATGGTGTTTGGTGTAAGGAGGGGAAGGACAGCGGGAGGGTCGGGCTCCAGGCGTCGAGCGTTGCTCGGAGATCAGGGACGGGGTATAATCTTGGGTAGCAAAGTTGCGCAGAGTGTCCTCGAGACTACGAAGGTTTCATTATCACCGAAAGAGAAACCTCGCCTGCATTCCTCGAGGGCCGGAGTGCTCGAGGAGAGTACAAGGTTGTACAATCCCAGCACAACAAGAACCACCGCGCCCCAGCCGCTCGAAAGCACGCCAACCAGCATTGCCGGTCTTCTAGTGTGCTTTCAGAGGCCGTGGCGCACAGAGGCTTGCTGATAACGAGGTAGACATAAGTAGAAGACCCAAAGCGGATGAACGCTTGCAACGACCAAGAAAGGCAATCCCTTTGAAAAATATCGTCGCGTCCGGCAAGCTCTACGAGATGGACGTCAGGTGGCTTGGTATGGAAAAGTAGACCGCACACTTTGACTCACAGGCTATTGCAGAGCGCTATCCGTTCGGTTGGACAATCTTGCACATTGTGGAATCTTGACAGAGCGCTGATGTAAAAACCAGCGTCGCGTTTCCCCCAGGCCCCCTACCGAGCCCCTCAACCCAGCGCTCCGGCCACCTCCCAGTCGGGGGACAAGCTCGTCGTGACTGCGCGAAGTGTGCCCTGCCTCATGCTACGTGGCTTTCAGAGCTACAGGACACATAATATTCTGCATGGAATGCTTCCCGCGCAGGTGCCCGCTGTGTGCAGGTGCTTCCAGCAGTGGACCAGAGTCGGGCAATGCCCTCGGTGTGGTATAGCTGGGGTTCGGCCGGGGTTCCGGTGATTCGAGCACATCCCTGGGCGCTGTGAATGCGACGCTGGTTTTGACATCAGCTGGAAGGCCTGTCCATGGGCGTCTGCCTACAGTAACATCGACAGCGAACCGTCTCCTGGGTCGCCGGGTGGTTCATGGTGCTCTTCGTAGCGCGACGATATGACTGATCCCTGGCACGCATTGTGAGGCAAAACTGGGGATGTGTACTGAGGATGTAGGAGGAAGAGCGCTAGTCGAGCCTGAAGCTGAAGCTCGAGGTAATGGACGTCACCAGCAACGACGAAATTCGACGCTTGACCAAGCGAGCATCCGGCAACCTCCGTAGTGCATATGTACGTGACTAGCGCCTCGGTGACCCCTTGCTACTTACTGCCACTGGGCTCAACAATTCGATATGCGTCATAGCATCTTTGAAGGGTCTTCGCCTTTTCAAGCCTCTACCCTAGCGTAATTTCGAGCTCTTGTATGTAAGAGCAGTACTAGAAGACGTGCCAGCTCAACGATCCGCATATGTCTTTCGCAAGTCGTACAGCTCGTGGAGGTACGCTCTTTTCGTAGACAGTCTCGCCGTATGACTTTGAGGATCCTACAAGTCCTTGTGCCCCCTGGCGCTGCAATTCTTCTCAGTCAAGACGTCGACGCATGTGGCAAGCGGCAGGATAGGAAACTTCAGGTACGGCGACAAGCTGATTTTCAGCGGAGCATACCATACAGCTGCACACGATTGGTAGCTGCTTAGGAACCTCTGGTTCGTTTACGTCCAAAGTGAGCCAAGACCAAAGGGATTCATATCTGAGTATTCATCAACGGATCCACTGCGCCCCCTGAGCTCTACAACGTGTACAATGTCTACACCACAAGTGTGGATGTCCGCAAGACGACCAAGGTCCCACTATGAACAGGTGGCCTTCAAGGGTTCCGAGCATGGACGAGTCGAATCCTCAATGAGAATCTTCTACTTTATTGCCAACACGCATACAGACCCTTGATCTGACTCTTCGATCCTGTGCATGGTCGATCGATCTAATATTGGAAGATTGTAGAGACCAAATCAAAGCGACATCGGACCTCCAGTCCTCTTCGAGCACGCGCGACTAGATCCGGTCCTCCTCAGGTCTCATCCCGTTCTCTACGGCCTACTATAAGTGATAGAAGTACTGATTAATGACGTCTTAGAAGGGACCTTCTACAGTTCTCGATTAGAATCGCAATTGACGTGAGTTGCCGACACTGTATTTGGACCAGGGATCAGATGTAGGTGTCTTATGAGCATCATATTTTGCGTGCAACATGTTCCAGCGACTTGTTGTGACTGATCAGAAACTCTTTCAGGCCCTAGCGAGTGTAACACCTTTGCATATATGATCGAACATGCGGATTCACCTCGTCCAGCCTGCGGGATACCACGCTATAAAACCCCCCAGACCGCTGAGCGGCCCGGCTCCCGGCGCGTAAAGATATTGTTTTCCGATTGCGGGACAGCACGAACAATAGGGCATCCACTTCGTCTGCCGCCAACACCAACACAATAAGGCCAGTGTGTACATATACCACCCATCGCGCTTGAAGACACTCCCGCTGCTTCTACACCTTACTGTCATATCCCTGGACCGGTCGTCGTCGTCTCCTCGCTATGTTCTCGCTCGTTCATCCTTGTGCTGTTGGTCGAGATACTCGTGTCTGGTATCTGCCTTCGTGTCATCATATTCTAGGCGACCGCAGTCTATGTACTCTGGAGACCTTCCTTCTTTTCTGCTACCCTCTTGTCCTTGTTGCACAGAGCGATGGTACGGCCTGGAGACCTAGCGTCTGCCTGGTGACATTGTTTCCAGCTGTTCTTTCTCCGTTCTGAACAACCATCTGGACAACCATGGCGGCTCCCGGCACATCGGCATCTCTGTCAGTACAACGGTCCGGAGAGGTCTCGGAAGTCACTCGTGAGTTCAAGGGGGATCCCACTTCAGGCAGCGTATCAGCCTTCCTTCTGGGGACTCTCCTTTGATTCTCGTTATAGTATAGCCCTGGGAAACTAACACGCTTATTTCTGTACAGAACTTACGACTTTCCCTGATGACCTCCGGTCCATGTGTCGCCATCATCTCGACCTTCCGTTTTCGGAGCAAGTACAAGGTATCGTCCGGATTAGGAAACACCAAGTGAACGCCCGAATGAAGTGTTCAACTGCGTCTATGATGGACGACGGACTAGCCGATTACAAGGGGCACTCCCAATCCGTTGACAAGCAAGGTACGCGGAGGATGGATTAAAGTAGCCTGACGGTGGAGTACGTCCCGTTAGCAGTCGCTCCTCCGCTGCACTCCCTCGACGCTCGCGTCCCCGTGTTCCAACTACCTGCTCTTGTACTGTGTACGCGGTAGCTGCCTCTGAATACACTTGATCTTCGTCCCCTCATCTGCACAATGGTGTCTCCTGTCGACGAGGCGATCATCACCGGATCGTTCTCCATATTCGGTGCCTGCCTGATCAGTGTTCCCCTCTATTGGCATTTGGAAGGTGAGCGGATATTTGACTTGCCTATTAGAGTCGAGTAGCTAACACTGAACACTCAGCATGGAACGTCGGATGCGTCATCTACATATTCTGGGTCGGTCTTCTCTGTCTGTTCAATGGCGTCAACTACATCGTCTGGAGAAACTCCGCGATTGACTTCGCCCCCGGCTGGTGCGATTTCTGTGAGTACATAGATTTTTTGAGCACCAACAACACGACCTAATACCTCTGGATCCTACAGACATTCGCTTCTACATTGGTGCATCGATCGGCGTCGTTTGCGCTTCACTCGTCATCAACCGCCGTCTGTACCATATCGCCAACGTCTCCGCGGTGTCGATCACTCGCGCGGATAAGCGGCGAAACATGATTACCGATCTCCTTATCGGACTCGGTATCCCACTCCTCTCCATCGCAGTCTGTAAGTCCCCGTCAGCTAAGCTCTCTGGGATCGTCGTCTGACTTCTCCCGTAGACTGGTTCTACCAGGGTCACCGGTTCAACATCCTCGAGGGCATGGGATGCCTTGAGGCGTACCCAAACACATGGCTCGCACTCATCCTCTACTTCCTGTGGCCCATCCCTCTCGGTCTGGTTTCCGGGACATACTGCATCCTGACCCTCCGCGCGTTTTTCAAGCGTCGCAGGCAGTTCAACGAGCTCATGGCGTCGAACAAGAACTTGACCTTCAACCGCTACTTCCGCTTGATGGGTCTCGCCTCCATCGAGGTGATGTTCACGATTCCCCTGACGATCTACAACATCGTCTCGAACTTCAAGCAAGACCCATACCCGTGGCGCGGCTTCGCGGACCTCCACTCGGGCTTCGGCCGCGTCGACCACGTCGCCGCCATCAGCTGGCGTTCGGATTCGGCCACCGTGTCGCTCATGCGCTTCAGGGCCTGGGTCCCCGTCGCGCTCGCGTGCACATTCTTCTTGTTCTTCGGCCTCGCCGAGGAGGCGCGCAAGCACTACAAGATGGCGCTCTCGTCCGTCGCGAAGCGCGTCGGTATCACCACCTTCGACCGCACGGCGAGCACCGGCTTCAGCTCTGCGGGCTCCAAGTCGGGCTTTGGCAAGGTCACCATCCCGACCTTCATCCAGCCCAACGCGAGCATGCGCCGCGGCTCCATGGACAGCTTCTCGGACAGGCTGTCGACGAACATCTCCATCAGCGAGGTCGAGGAGAAGGCGGCGTACTCCCCCGGAGGCAGCTCTGTGGGCTCGAGTACTTACATCTCCTCGCCGACCGACTCGGAGAAGGCCGAGAAGAACGCGCAGCCCTCTCCGATCGCGTTGTCCGTGCCGACCATCAACTTCCCCAAACCTCCACGCGCATACCGCCCCGCCTCGCCCACGCCGTCCCACGACGACCGCGGCGACGCGGATGTGCCTTCATCGGTGCGCCCGAACTCTGGCATCGACATGGTTTGAGCTCCCACATCCGGACTGTTAGGCTCCAGTTATATCTCCATCCCATCTCGCGAAAACCTTTCTACTCATCGCCTCGCCTCCTTTCCGCTGCGTTTCCTCTCCACCATCTGCGTCTCGGTTCGGATTATGGTTCTTAGGTCGCCTTGCCCCAGGCACAACTGTATTGTTAGCACACCCGCATACCCCCCCCCACACATTACCCCCTCACGACGCTCATTTCGCCGCCCGTCGCGGTTAATCGTATTTTTATCGTGTATTTCCTACGATGTATAGACACGCCGCCGTGTTTCTCAGCTACGCACATGATAGACCATGTTGATCAACCCAAACCTGCCATTAAGCGATCGTTTGCAACTGCTCACTCAGACGAAGTCTTCCGCACCGGCCCGTCTTTGGCCCGCGCGCCCGGATTTCTGCTGGCAGCGAGGCGCCAGAACGTGCGCTTGACTTCGTCAATCATCGTCGACACCATCAGCCCTGTTTGAGCAAGAAGGTACGTGATTATCATGACCTCTCTGATTGACCTCTTACTGAGGTGTTCGAAATGCACGCTGGCGTGGACGCTCAGACTGCCGGAGTTCCCGCTGGCACCCTGGTCCTGCAGAAAATGCAGATCGACATCGTAAGGAGTCCCACCGAGCTTGCAGATTTGTATCCAACATCTAAACACAACTGTGGCGGCTGCGGTTTGAACGATGGTTCTCTCGTTGCTCGGGCTGGATGTTGACAATCTCGCTATGCACCGGCAGACTCCGCACCAATCCTGCGTTTCGATCGTGTGAGTAGCTTCGCCTTCGTATAGTGCACAGTCCGCATCTCATTCGATCTCTTGCTCAGATGTCCTGTCTGCCTGCACGGCCGGGCTAAGCCGCTCATGGACTACGACAGCGGCTAAGGCCCAGCGTCCCGCAGTGGACGCCTGCCAGTGCGAACGACGCGGAACTCGTATCCTGATACGGCACTCCTTGGAGCCGGAGAGCATGGAAACTCATCTCGCCACGCCCATAGAGCTTCTCATCATACTCGGATGACCTGGTTGTCCGCTTGTCGCCATCGCCTAACACTTCCTTTTCGGGGCCGAATACAAGGGAGCATCCGGATTAGGAGAGCCCGAGAATGTCCACTAGCGGGCACTCAAGTGGAGCAGCAAGGTTGCATTTACGATGGTCGCGAGGATTAGTGAGGACAGCCGAACGCAGGTAGGCATAGGACCGAGAGGCATACGCGAGGGAGATAAGTATCGAGTACTAGTGAAGGGTTGAGGACGACTCGGACCCACGTAGGCAGCTGTCTTCCACTGCCCTGCGCGTACAAGACCACCCAGTCGCTGTCGACGCGCACTCGACTTTGTATTCCCTGTTTCATTGGCTTCACGCTGTGCACGAATACAACAGCGACATGGCGCTACCCTGGCATATTCAAGTCGATATCATTGCGGCGTTCTCTTTTCTAGGCTTCGTCCTCATCAGTGTTCCTCTCTACTGGCATTGCGTCGGTGCGTGTCGCGCGCTCTCTTGACCAAGGAAGTGATGTACTGACGCGTGGGGCCGCAGCCTGGAACATCGGTTGTGTCCTCTACATCTTTTGGGTTGGTGGGCAATGCCTCTTCCAAGCCATTAACGTTCTCGTGTGGCGGGATAATGTGATCAACGTCGCCCCTGTCTGGTGTGACATATGTGAGTAGGCTCAGGAAAGTTTGCGTCCACAGTATACTGAGCCTACGATATGCAGTCATTCGGTTCTACATTGGGGCATCCATTGGTGTATGTACTGCGTCCCTAGTCATCAACCGCCGCCTGTACCACATCGCCAATGTGTCGTCGGTGTCCATTACCCGCGCGGACAAGCGACGTAACATCATTAACGATTTCCTGATCGGACTTGGTATCCCCGTTCTCGCGATCGCGGTTTGTGGGCCCACTCTCCATTCCACACATCATATTCTGTTTTCTGACCTCGCTTGCAGACTGGGTCTACGAGGGCCACCGGTTTGACCTGATGGAAGGCGTCGGCTGCATCGAAGCGTACCCCAACACATGGCTCGCTCTCATCCTGTACTACCTCTGGCCCATTCCGATCGGACTCGTCTCCGCGACCTACTGCGTTCTCACCCTCACGGCGTTCTTCAAGCGCCGCCGACGGTTCACCGAGCTCATGGCGTCCAACGCGAACATCACCTTCAACCGCTACTTCCGGCTCATGGGACTCGCCTCGCTCGAGTTCCTCTTCACGCTTCCGCTGACGATCTACAATATCACTGAGAACTTCAAGCTTGCTCCGTACAAATGGCGCGGGATGGCGAACCTGCACTCCCGTTTCGGTCGCGTCGATCAGTATCCTGCCGTCATCTGGCGCGCAGACCCGCAACTCGTCTCTGTGATCAACTTTCGCCTCTGGATGCCCATCGCGTGCGCCCTCGTCTTCTTCCTCTTTTTCGGGCTCGCGGAGGAGGCGCGCAAACACTACAAGTTGGCGATGACGTCCATCGCTAAGAAGGTCGGCATCAGCACCATGGAGCGCAGCAGCGAGCTCGATTCCTTCGTGTACGTCTTCATTTGTTTTATCCATTCTGCGATGTAGAGGTTCACTATGACCCTTTGCACACTATACAGGTCAAAGACGGTTGGACTCTTAGGAACTGCTCTTCCCACGTTCATTAATCGCACCATCCGCCGTGCCTCGCTGGACAGCGTCTTCTCCGATGATCAGTCCGCAGGCCATTCTGCAGAGGGCTCTCATGATAAGGCGCTGCATTCGCCTTCGGGCTTCTCTGTGGGATCGAGCACGTTCATCGGGTCTCCGGTCTCGGAGAAGGACCAGGAGCATGCCATCCATCCCGTACCACCTCTCCCATCACTACCGTTTATGAGAGTCCCAGACTCGTCAGCGGTACACCATCCGACGCCATCGAAGTCCGAGGAGGAAGAGGAGCAGGAGGAAGGGGACGTACAGGCGCCACACAACGTGGGCTCAGAATCCATCGAGATGGTCTGAGCAGTCATGAGCATCATATACCCCGAAAGACCTGCGGCAGGTCTTTGCTGAACGTGTCCGCTGCGTTCTTTGTCTCCCTTGTCGTGTTCTGTGCTTGTGTCCGTATTCCGTCTCCTCTATACCACTGTATCTCTAGCAACATCCCACCTCACACAGCTTACCATGACGTTCCTTTCGCCGCCGCAATAGTGGTCTTTATAACCCTGACAGGGCGTGTATTGTACTACATTCGCTTTGAGATATCTCTCCATGTCAATAGAAGTTATGTCGCACTGGCATATTTACCATCCACTCTCCCCCAACAGCTCGTCAACCATGTCGTCACTCATGAGGACCAAGAACGCTCAAAACATCTGTCTCCGCGCATATGCTTTGTACCTCTCAGGTCCCGCCCATGGATTTGCTTCTGGCAGGCGTATGTGATCCCTAGGAGCTTGACGGGGAGAGTGTCGTGGTTAGGGCTGATCACCATTGTCTATGCATTCAGAACGATACACTGACCCCCTTTGTCTTTTCTATTCTAGAAGACTATCATAACCTTAGAAAGCATGATTGGACCTCCAGTGACGGTGGACTGAGAGCTATTCGTAGAGCCCAGGACATGGTTGCAGTCCAAGACGCGTCGAGGGCGATCACGTGACGCGTTACTTGCAACCACAGCTGGGCCGCCTGCCGCGTCGCTTTCTGAACCGTGGAACCCTTGCCCCTATTGTCCGCCCAATTGGTTCTGCAAACGCGTCTTTGTCTTCCTTTGAACTCCATGCTTCTCCATTGACCGTGTGTCCAAGCACAATGGCGGCGACGTGCCGAGGAACTGTTGGTTCTCGCCGACGACCTGGTATAAGAGCCACTACGGGGAAGGCTTGCACTCTCGTCTCGTCTCCCACCTCCTCTCATACTGTGTCACGACCGCGACAACCCAACCACACGCCGACGACGTGTAGCCTACCAGAACGGGATACTCGAGGTGGTGAGTCCCCTTGTTTTACAATTGGGCGAAGGGTGCGGAACCACAGACCGCCCTTCCGTTTCGGAGTCCGCAACCCCACTTTACAGGCCTGTTCCACAATTGAGGTGAGTGCTTTGACCCTGTCTCAGTTCTGGGCTCAACGGGCGCAGCGGCACTGGCACTGAGCTGCGCGATCGTGCGTCGGCCGGAGCGACGCCACTGCCAGACAGGCAGTCCGGCCGTGTGTGTCCTCCTACTTTGAACTAGTGCGTCTTTATCTGGAGAGCTGAGTTTGTGATTTCTGGGGCGATGTCTCTGATCGTTGGCTGCTGCGTCCGTCCGTCTGGGTCTGGGGTGCGTCTGGCTGTTTCCGCTCCTCTGGTACTCGGGCTTGGACAATCAAGCGGTGAGTGGTGTACTCACATGTTCTCTGCCTTGTGCTCTTTACCAAGACGAGCGAAGTCTGCGTGATTGCTCGAAGTGCTCTAGCCGGTGGTTACGGAATAGTTGAACTCCGCTGGGTACGCTGCTGCTGCTATCGGTGTGAATTTGTCACAATATACTTCAGTAAGTCAAATCTGATCTTAGGACAAAGTACTCTGGGACTGCAGTGAACGACTTTGCGGACAAAGTGTGATTTGCCTCTGGGGGTCCCTCTCGGCGCCTGTACGCGACGCGACCTGGAGTGTGAGTCAGGTGATCGTTACCTGCCATCCTCTTCCAGTGAAAGCTTAGTGCATCTCGTCTCTTCCCTTGCGCCAATCATTTTTTGCAAGGGTCGCCTCGTTCTGACCACTCAAACGATTCTCTTTGTCTGTCTGCCAATAGCTGGCAACAGATGGCCCATGGGTGTGCTTGCGGCTAAAACAGGTTCTCAGGCCTTTCACTATGATCATGTCCCACCAATGCCGCAAATAAGACGTATCGATACCGCCAGTTGTACGTCGTTCAACCTCTCCCACTAACCCGACAGGGGATATGTAGGGCGGGCAAAGCGAACATGCCCTACAAGAGGTCCCGTCTAACTCTGTCGACATGGTGTAACGCCCAGTTCCTCGACCATACACACATACGCGCTAGACGGCATCGATGGGCTTGGGCCAATGAGGATTACCTGGATGGTGATCACCTATTTTTCCTTCTGCGTGCCCTAGTATGCTCGTCCTGCGTTGAAGTTGTATGCCTTCGCGCCGCGTCTGCTTAGACGTTGCTCGTTCAACATCACATCGGAGGTGCGTGCTGAGGCTGCGCGTTCAAGCTGATTGTTTCCATCACGATTATACCTGAGCTCTCGAGGCAAACATGTCCTCATTTCCAGATGTGAGTACATTCTTAGAGTGTGATACATAGCTCACGAGCAGGGAACGGCTTACTACACTAGCGCCGCCTGAAACCGTCCGTGATTTTCGGAGCCGCTTGCTTTCGGGCGCTAACATGTTGCTATTGTGCTCTCGCGCGCGACTCTCGAGCTCGGTCATTGTCCCTCTAAGACCATTGTGCCTCCTGCGTGGCGAGTACTACGCGCTCATCCCACCTCTCGTGCTCAAAGACATGAAGCGGCTTCTTTCCGCTCGTGTTTCTGTCTCTCCCTCTCTAATCTTGATCCAACTATGTCGCCTCCTGAACTTCCCTACGTAGCGTTTGCCGCTGCCTTCCTCGTCCTCATCACTCTGCCATGGCATTGGCGTGCTAGAAATGTTGCAACTCTGGCTATGGTTGCGTGGCTCTTTGTGATTAACGTGATATACGGCGTCGACGCTGTTATTTGGCATCAGAGTATCCTAGTGAAGGCAGTCGTTTGGTGTGACATCAGTATGTTCAACAGATGGTTTCTGCGATACGGCGCAACTGACAAGTCTCCTTCAGCGAGCAGAATTATCATTGGCGCTGGGATTGCGCTTCCGGCTGCATGCATGTGCATCAGCGTCCATCTAGCCCAAGTCGCCTCTGCCAGTCACATACAAAATTCGAGAGCGGATAAGCGTCGGAGACAAATCATTGAGCTTCTACTCTGTTTTGGTCTGCCTATGCTTTGGATGGGTCTCCGTGAGTACTACGTATATTTGGAATTATTGCGGGACATCTGCTAAGTCTTCCTAGATTACATTGTCCAAGGGCATCGGTTCGATATAATTGAAGACTACGGATGTCGTCCGAACACGTACATATCCATCCCTGCTATATTACTCATATGGGTGCCGCCTCTCATCTTCTCACTTGTGACGGTCATCTACTCTGGTACGCATACGCCCTTCCTACGCCACTTCGACGAAATTCTGACCCTCTGCAGGTATGGCCCTAATGTACTTCCTCCGGCACCGTATGACGTTTGCTCGTCTCCTCGAGAACTCGAACAGCGGTCTCACGACCTCTCGCTATCTCCGACTCATGGCAATGGCATTCACCGAAATCGTCATCACCGTAGTCTCATCGTCCCTGACACTCTGGTTCACGTCCCTCAGTCTTCGGCCTTGGACGAACTTCACTGACGTCCACTGGAACTTCTCGCGCATCGACACGTACCCTACCGTCTTCCTGCCCGACATGATCCTCAACTACTACTATGCGACTTGGTACATCATTCCGTTTTCGTCCCTCATCTTCTTCGCGTTCTTCGCATTTGGCCAGGAGGCGATAAGCGAGACGCGCGCATGCTTCATGTGGATTCGCAAACACGTGTTCGGGTGTTTCCCCCGATCCGGCAGACTCGGACTTCCGCTCAAGGACATATCCGGCTTCAGTAGCAAGCAGTCGCCTAGGCAGTTTGTCTCACTGCCGTCCGCTCCGTGAGTTGCCTTATTCTCATTCTGGGAGCACATATTTGTTCGAATCATGCTGACGTTTGTTCTGGTCCCTATTTTGCCCCCTCTGCCCACAGCCTTGCTTCAAGCTTCACCAAAGACAGCTTTTCCGCGCTTCCATCATATCGAAGTGCTGTCGCGGATTCGGACGCCGATATGCCTCCTACCCCAGTGGAAAAGGATTCTATTGTGAAACTCGGGCCTACTTACGCGGAGCGCTTTGCGGCCCAGTCCATCGATCGGACGGACGTCCCAATCGATCAGATCACGGCTTACGCTCGTTCGGACGACTCCTCGTACTGCTCTGCCTTGGCGCCCCCTTCGCCCGCGAGTACCGTCGCCACAACTGCCTCCGCGCACACGTTCGGTCATCCTGCCGAAATGGCCATGCCCGCCCCTACGCATCCTCCAACACACCCTTATGACCTCGTTTGAACACCCGGCTTTGCGCTCGCCTGGAAAATCATATGCGACACGCTTCCGCTCCTTTGTGCACTCGGTTCCTGCTTCTTAGTCTATAATATCATCATCCTGAGGATCTCGTCGTTCTGTGCTGTACATTACCTTCGCTTACTTAGTAAGCTGACTTTGTAGCCAATAGACACCAGCTTTCGATCAGAGCTATTTGCCATATCTGGCAAACCCATAGAGAGACATAACGACGATCTAGGCTCGACTCGCACTGGCCGCGCTGGCCACAGGTACATACTCGGCACACAAACACAGCTGCCCAAATAGCGAATCATACCCCGAAATCATTCCATAGGAACAATTAAGGATCCGTCCATGAACAACGTGTATATAGCAGACGCCTGCTCGGCATGAACAATGAATCCCCCACCTGCACAATGTGTCGATACACTGAGGTGAGACCTCCTCTACTCTGTTCGCGCTGCTGTCCTTGGATTCCACATGGAACCCAAAGTCCATGACCAAAGCGTCGCATCCCCTTATACAACAATAATGTCTTCAACTTTTGTGGCCTCCTCACATAACTCTTCACCTCATACGTCCCTTCATCTAGCATCTCACTGACTGTGTCTCCTTAAGCTTACCACCTAAGCCTACTCCAATCTCTCCGCGATAGTCGTGCGCTTCGCACACACCCGCCCTCCACCGACCGCGCCCAACGCTCACAATCCATTGATCGCTATGGACCTGTTCGATTTCGCCCCCGTTGCACCTGCCGTCCCCGACACAGGGGACGACCTTGTCGCTTCTATCGAGGCCGAGGATGTCGTCCTTGTCGACGAGGATCGCCCTTGGCACTTCAGCGGCGGATGTACCATCGCAGTATGTATCTTCTCAAATTCTTCTAAGTACAAGAGACTGACCTGATTGCGTTTAGTGATGACCGACTACGGTTCCGCATGCACTCCCCGAGATCGCGCTATACAGCGCGAAGACAATCGCAAACCATTCGGCTCCTATTTATGATCGCCCACCACGACACACGCTCGCTTCGGAACTCTGTTAGACAGCTTGCCTATTATTGCCCTGGAAGGTGCGTTCGACTTTCTTCCATCTCATTGTATATCCATTGACTGACCTGTTAGTATGACTTATCAGAATCGCATTTCGTCGCTCCTTTGCTCTGCTATCGCTCTCCATCTTTCGTTCTCCACTTCGCAGTCTCTTTGGGCCTAGGGCCCGCCTTTGCGCTGCGAGGGTACATACATTTCGCGGCCGTGGTTCAAGTATCATTATTCGGTATTTATAATACGTCTCCGAGGGTACCGTTCCTGTGCGCACTCACATGGTGTGAGGTGCTCGTATTTATTGGGTTAGGCTAGCCCCCGCTCGGGGGTAATGTACTTGTAACCACGCGTCTGCTTGTGAATCATGTATTTGCTTGTTGTGATTGATTGAACGAACTGTCTTGATGCGTCTTTCGTCGCCGTGCCGAGTCTTCGGAAATGCAGGGCCATACCCGAGGAAGGTGACGGAGGAATAGGTGGATATTGTTGGACATGCGCAAGGAAAAGCACAGTTTCGCCGCACGATCTTCGCCCCAGGCGTCGCGAACGCATCGTAAGTTGACTCGGCGCGACTCGCCGTGACGCATTATTGTCGTACGTTGTCTCGTATGCAGCTTGTACTGAACTTAAAGCTGACAGGAATTGTGGCCACTATCCCCTCGGGCGAGAGCGGCGCGAAACATTACTCACGGAATTACTGCCTTCATGTAGCGGTGACGAGAGGATAGAGCAGATTGGTATAATATATCGAGGACTATTGATACAGGACGTGAACGGGAACAGCTATGCAAAGGATAGGTATTGAAGCGACTATGATGAATGTACGACGCAAACATACGACTAGGGTATGGATACAAGACCACAATGACGGGAGACGAGGAAATGTAACACAAGTGAGCGGAACGTTATACTATACCATGGTGATCGTGAGTGGCGAAATCATCACAGGAAAGGTCTGAAGCTGTCGACGCTGTTGACGGCGTGGAAGGTGTGTCTGGGAATTTCTCAAAATATGGGGTTGCCGAAAGCGTCGACATATCCTCCGAAGCAAGCGAAGCAGAGAGGGAAGAGAACATGGGAGGACGCGGCGGGCGCACACTGTACACAGGAAGGCTCTCCATGTCGGCCTTAGGCTGCCACCCATCAGCCTTTTCGAGAGCGCTATTCGGGAGCTTGACGCCCATGAGCGGGCGCTTGGGGAAGAGGTCGCGGAAAGGAAATGAGTTCCGAATCCGGAGGAACGCTTTGCTATAGTGGATCCTGGCCTCCTGTGCGAAGCCGAAGAAGGCGAAGAAGACGAACGCACAGAACGGCGCAAGCCAACGGCTGAGCTCGAACGAAATGACGGTATTCCTGTCCGTACGCCAGATGACCGCTGGGAACTGATCGACCTTGGAATAGTTGAAATGCGTGTCGTCCCAGCTAATCCACGGGTTCAAAGGACCCGAAGAGAGGTTGAGATAGAGGCCATACGCGGAAATGGGGATGGTGCAGACGACCTCGAAAGAGGCGATGGCCATGAGACGAAAGTAGCGGTTCGGAGTGAGCGAGGAATTGGACGTCAGGTAAGCGTTGAACTGGGCGCGACGGCGGATAAAGTTGATCAAGGTGCGCACTGGTATGTTATGTCAGCGCTCTGCAAGTCACACGCCAACTACAGCGTACATACCACAATAGCATGCCGACACCAAGGATATGACTAGTGGCCAAAGGAAAGAGAACGGATACGCCAACGCAGTGTTGTATGTGTACACGTAACACCCGATTCCTTCGTAGATGTCGAATCTGTGTCCAGACACGATGTACTCTGGGGGGAGTGGTCAGGTTGTGGATCCTTTGATATCGACAAGTGTAGCCCACGCACGAAACACAATTTGGAGGAGGGGAATTCCAACACCAATGAGTAGGTCGATGAAGACACCTCTACGCTTCTAAACGGGTTGGTGAATACATGAAGATTTAGACGTTATGGTATGTAACGTACCTCTGCGTATGTGATGCTGACGAACTTGATTGAAGCGATGTTATACAACCGTCTCTGAATGCACAGAGATGCAGCAGGAAGCGCTACAGCAACTGCGACGATTGTGCGAGACGCTGCGAGCCATTGTTCAGGGTAGCACGGACCACGGCGCAAAGGCGACTCACAGATGTCACACCAGACAGGTGCAAAATTGATGACATTGTTGTTCCAGACGATGGAGTTAATCCCAAGGTTCAGGCAAGCGATGGCAGTCCATATCATGAAGAGACATGTCCCTGCGTTCCATGCCTGAAGATGCCAGGGGAAAGGCACCAGCACAACGAAGGCGCCTAGAAAAGCTAGGACAGGAAAAGCGGGGTATGTGGGATCGGAAGGACCAAGCATGACGACGGAGTGAGAGGAATAGACAGCCAAGGATACAGAGGGGAGATGGTCTGAGTGAGTAACGTCGGCATGTTGAAGAGGCAGCGAGAGACCTATTGACGACTCGAATCGTTGGGGAGGACAATGAAGCTTTGGCCTCTGTGGCACGCGCGCTTCGACGACACGCTCTACCAGCGTCTATGTATCGGCCGACCTACCCATCTATCATTTCCCACGGTCCCACAGAACAATCATATTCCTATACTTGTTACTTGTCGCTTCGGAGCTTGATTTCCTCCTTGGCGGTCTCGACATCGAACTGGATTCCTCATGGACGCATCCACCATCCACACAATGGTATCTCCTATTTGCCTGGACCTCGCTTTATTTGCAGCACACTGAGCCCTTTCGTCGCTTTCGCATCTACCTGCATGTCGCAGCATCTCCGTAATTCCGAACGCGGCTTCGCCGAATGACATTGATATATATATCCATTCTCACACAGATGCCGCCACCTAACGTCCTTGCCAACACCCCGAAGTTTGTCTCTCCCGCCTAGAATTACTCTTGCCCGCAGGGCCCGACTCTTGTCACAACCCTCGTCCTTGCTATCACCCATGGACGTCTTTTCGACCTCAAACGATCTGTTCCTCGAACCCGAGGTCACCTCCTATTCGTCTGCGGAATGCACCAACAGCACGTCGCTCCTCAGCGATTTGCCAGTACCCGTCGATAGCGAGCATCAACCGTCGACGTCACACTTCTGGTGTACGATTGCTTGACGACCAGTAAGCACGAGCCTCCCCTCAGCTTCACACCTGCTGAGGATTGCATCAGTGTCACTGCTTTAGTGCTGAGTCTGTGCCGGACTTATTGCACTCTCGGGGATCGAGCCTTGGCATATCATTATTCCTTTCATTCGATCTTCTGAGCTCTTCGTCTTCAACGTGTTAAGGCGGCACCTATTTATGTACATACGTTGTGTCTATCTCCTCGACTATACGATCATGGAATCTCGTCATTCTTACATACATATTCATTTACAGGTTGTATCGCTAGCTAGCATTCCGCCCTTGTATAACGTTCTCATCTGGCAACTGAAGTATGTCACCTCACACTCCTTTTCCGTTGTAGTAATATTTTCAACACTTCCCGGAATGCAAGTCGTATCAGACCGTGCTTGATTGCACATATCACCTTGAGTCAAAGCGATGGTGTCCTGTACTGTATGTGGACGAGAGCTGAGCAGAACGTCGAAGGTCTGCGAAGCCGACGACACGATAGGCCACAAGGAAGCCGAGCAAGAAGTCCTAGTAGAATGTCGTCGTGGCTTAACGTACTAGAGCTTGATACCATAGCATTCAGATTACATCTCGCGGTATCGCCGCAGCTCTCCCAAGAGTGCCCACGCCTGAACGTGTGAATCGCCATATTATGAACAATCACGCTGCAAAGATACGAGAAGGCGAACGCATGGCCATGCCGCTGATAACCTTGTCGAGGACGAAGAGCGCACCGTCGCACAAAAACCAAGCCCAGATATTCGAGATATGCTGAGACCGAGTACATAGTGGTGCCAATCCTTCGGAGTGAGCATAGCCGCGTACTCACAAAATTGAGAAAGATCGATCATCGAGGATTACAGTGCTTTGCAAAAAAGATTGCAGTGCGAAGCGCGCAAAATCCTGTTTGCCTCTGTTTGCTCACCCGGAGAAACGCCCGCAATGCCGGGAGCCTCTTTGCAGCATGGTCGATTTTTCAGCTACAAACCTACCAAATATATTCAAAAAGTTATATTGCGGAGGCAGAGAACATATTCGTTTATTTTGGCAGTAGGAAAGCGGGCACAGACTCAAGCACGGCTTTGACGGACGGAGTCCTTGTGGACGCTCGGTTCCCGAAACAGAAATCCTCGCCGTAGCCGACGGGGGACCAAACAGGGGCAAACCGGATTTGCGCGCTTCGCACTGCAATCTTTTTTGCAAAGCACTGTATAGAAGATGTCTTGAGGCGCGAGATTGACAGATAGCGATATAACATAGCATCCAAGGACAACAGCAAACCAAAAACATCCGAGACCAGCCTATGGCTACAATAATTAAGCATAAGATACTACACTACGGGCCGTAAACGGTCTGCATCGGCGCCTGCGATGTTCGGGGTGCTAAGAGAGGGCAGTGTCAAGTGAAAGAGAGTAAGGGGATTGGACATCGATAGCAACGAAGCAACGGTTACAATCCGGGCAACCGCACGAACGACGACCGAAGTCAAGAGCAACAATTGGGATCGGTGGAGAGTAGGGGAACGAGGGAAGAAGAGGGGAACGCGAGCACAGAGAACGAAAAAGCCTCGCCTCTTTCATCGCAGGAAATGCAAGTGATGATCAGACAGTGCAGCCCAATAGATACTGGGGCCCATAAATAAGAATTGCCACTCGAGGGAGACGAGCGCGAGCCAGTGCACCTCCTCTGAACATGGTCGCGACGTGGAAGGGCTGGAAAAGCAGTGTTAAAACACCAAGCGCCACATCTCAACGAGATTCGAGAAACTCACCGGTCCTGAGACCCTCCTCATCCGATGACACAGTAAGCTTGGTACTGGGCGTTGCTGTCTTCGTTGACGGGGTTCGAAGTAGTGATGTGGGCCAGCAGGGCTGCCCGATCGTGCGAGGAGAGATCCCCACACAATCGCAGGGAAGAAGACGGCGTATTGGGCGAGGGATGCGCCTGGAAGGACTCGGACGCAGCGAGGGTGATGGTGCAGAACTCGTCCATTGAGATGAAGGACGATGAGCAGAGTGATATGTCGGGAAGCACTAGGCAAGGTGGGGAGCGATCCACACTGGGGGGCGAGGCGGGAGATATAGCTGAAATCCGCGGCAGTTGTTCGGGAGTGCACACTTCCCTGGAGAGCGAAATTTAACGAGATGCGTGGACAGCGTGGAGAGTGCGTCAACAATGATTAGAACGTGTGAGTGTGAGACAAGCTTGTGAGCAATTGGTTACCTTCAAATGGCACACGATTGTTACTGGAGGTCCGGGGTATTCAGGGTGTCGGTAACAAATGTCGCTCGGGGTGATCCCATCCCATTATATATACCAGTGCTCGCCGGTCGTTGCGGCTCACATCGTTCGGAACCTGCGCAAGGGACACTGCGGCCAGTGGCAGACAACCTATTGCAGTTGTGAACCCGAAGGATCGTGTTGGGGTGATGAGCTATTGTCATCAATTGCTGTACTGTAATACATAACGGGCAAACTGAGACTGAGACCATATTCGGAGTTCGTCCTTGAAGTGGTGGCGAGTGATTGTCACGCATAACGATGTGTGTTTGGCTGTATTTGGCTGTGGATAGGACGCCCGTGGCTACAAATATGTACAAGCATGGTAATCGCATGCGGCTAGGCGAAATCTAGCGCCCATAGGGACGGAATCTCAGCGGTCAGAAACGGCTTTGTTCCCCTTCCCCGGACACTCGCCGCTGTAGTGCGTATCAGCCAACACTCGACCCAGACAATGCCCTCGTGGAAAGATATAGCGAATATGGCGTCTGAGTTTCTATCGTTCAAGGTTCCATCTCGCTCTCTTCGCTGTCTGCGTGCATCCTCTTGGTCGCCATGGTCGATCCAACCTACCCTCTGTTCCCCATCTTCGCTGTTCTTGGCTTCGCCCTTGTGCTTGTCCCCCTTCCATGGCATTGGGAGGCATGGAACTCAGCTACTTGTTACTACATGCTCTGGACGTCGCTGTCTTGTTTCAATCAATTCATAAACTCAGTTGTATGGGCGAAGGACGCCATTGATCATGCGCCAGCGTGGTGCGAGATTTGTGAGTCCCTTCTTTCTTTCCCTGAACGAGTTCTCAAGACTCCTCTAGCTACTCGAATTACCATTGCTGCTTCTGTTGGCATTCCTGCTGCTGCCATGTGCATCAATCAGCGACTATATAGCATCGCACGAGCGCAAGCGGTCATGATTACGAAAGCTGAGGTGTGTATCTGCTGATTGGCCAGTTCTAATGTCTTACATGCATCCTCGTCTAGAAAGGCCGTGCTGTCATTGTCGATACTCTGATATGTGTGCTGTTTCCTGTCATCATTGCTGCTCTCTGTGAGATCGTTTGTCCGCAAGATCGTGAGTCGTTGATGGCTAACGCTCAGGTAGCATATATCGTGCAAGGACACCGATACAACGTACTCGAACAACTCGGTTGTTTTCCAGCGCTCTACAACACATCATTGACGTATTTCCTCGTTGATTGGTGGCCTCTCCTACTAGGAGTCATCGCTTCTGTATATTGCGGTACGCTTATGCCACCACAGCCTTGATTTGTTTATTGACGCATAATTCTGACGTCGCCGCTTGCACAGTCCTCTCCCTTTTAGCATTCAACAAACGCCGCGCTCAGTTCAATGAATTCCTCTCGTCCAAGAAATCGTCTCTGACTCTCAGTCGCTATTTCCGTCTCATGGCCCTCTCGACAACTTCTCTCTTGCTTTTGATCCCTATATCAAGTTACGGTATCTACCTGAATACCACGACATCGCCGCTTGGCAAGTGGATTAGCTGGTCGGACACCCACTTCGACTTCGGACGAATCGAGCAGATCCCTGCTATCGTTTGGCGTGCAAGCTCCACATCCGTGATCGCACACGAGCTGAACAGATGGCTGTCTCCTGCATGCGCACTTATTTTCTTCGTTTATTTCGGTATCGCGAGCGAGGCAAGGAGGCATTATCGCACTGCTTTCTGGTTTGTCGTCGACAGGGTCGGTCGCAAGATCTCGTTAAAGAGCGAGAAGACCGGTCTTCAGTCTCTTGGGTATGTGGAATCACTTCATCAAATAGAACGCGCTGACGAGAAACCGTTCAGCAAATACCCCTCACCAACCAAGTTCGCTTCGCAGTCTGAGTCTCTCCCTGCTTACGACTACCCGAGGCCATCTTATACGCACCCGACATCATCGTTTACGACCTCGTTCCCCTCCTTCGCAGATGAAAAGCCTTTCAGCACCTACCAAGGTCTCGCAAGCATGCCTTCCCTCATTCCTGCGTCCGGCTCGACGACGCCGATCTACGATCACTTCGCACGCGGTGGCGCAGACGGGACGATCGAAGTCGTCCCCCCTCTTCCCCCATTTCCCAACTCTCCACCCCATTCTCCGAACGAGCCCTCGGCCGCGCTATCCCCCACGGACTCGATGTTCAGCCACGACTCGGAGCAGTCGGCCGTGTCGCTGTCGTTCACGGACATCGAAGCGGCGTACGGTGCGCGCGTCCTGTCGTTTGTCTCGTTGGAGATCGAGCAGTCTTCGGAGCCCCCTACGCCGTTGAATCTTCATCACGTCACGTCATGAATGTATTGCTGGATGGTTCGCCGTGCGAGGGAAACATCTGGTCTATATGTATCGTTAGTCATCATCTTACTCGATCAATGTCGTGCAGGGGCACAGCAGTCGTCTGTATCATGTAAAACCTGATGTTCTAATCTTTCAATACTATCACCGCAATCTGCCTTTGCTGAAGATTTTAATCTACAGTCCTCCGGTGTCTGCTAATGGAAACTGTCAGGAACTGCCGTTCCACGACCTGCACTACTGGTCCAGGACCTGAAGCACGGCGGTGGTAGTCCCGGGAATGTACTAGTAATCTACAGATACTCGACCCCGGGCAATAGACCCCGCACAAATCACGACGCTGGTCTAACGCAAGGTGATATCAATGATATCGATGCACGCGCAGCACATACCGATGTTCGCGGATTTGCGAAACGCGCTGAGCAAGGCGGCTGCCCGTGGCCCTCACGCTGTGCGTATGGTACGGGTTCATGTCACCAGAGGGGCTTGAACGTTGTTTCGCTGGTAGAAAGCGGCTCAAGTGGAACGGGCCTCTAACGATGGGCCTCGGCAAAACGTGTGTCGATGCACCACGTTGTAGGCACGGTGCAAGCTCTGTTGCCCAAGTAACGTCCCATCTACATGGTTGTGACTCGTTGTATGCGAGAAACTCTGAGTCGCTCGGGGCTGTATCCTCAGCACGCTACGATTCTCCTTCTTCACCTCTTAACATGCCACCCATCCAAGCCATGAGCTAGTCGTTCACGACATCTACGTTCTTCATTCATCCTGCTGCTTCATTGTCTCATGTTTAACCCCTGTCTCCTTGCCGGTATGTCGCATTTCTCGCCAATTACCCACAGCTCCACATCATCTACCATATGTTCCATCTTTATTGTGATTCTCTCAATACATCGCACGCGTTTGGTCCGCTCATTGATCGTTCTGGGTTGGAGTGCTTCCAAAAGTCCGACGGCATGTTCTAGGTTGTCACGAGTTCCAGCCGTACTATCGCACAGCGAGGAACAATGCTGCAGAAGTAGAGCCTACGCTGGAGGCATGATAATCATGAGCGCCAAAGCGTGGCAACCAAAGTGTTGCCCTTACCATTCAAGGTAATATCCGATACCGGCTCTATGCACCGAGGGTTCTGCCCCTTGTTTGCTATACACGATCGACAATTGCTCGCCCAATTATTGTGCCCCCCTTCAGCAGGGTGCTCCCATCGCTGACATTTTGGTCTGCAGAGTCGTGTAAATCAGCGCTTTCTCATGGATATATTCAAGCTGCAGGTGCTCAAGCAGACCAGTCAACGCGTTTGACTTCTGCAGTAGAACCCAGCTCACTTCCCGCTCGCGATACCCCTTCCTCGCGATACCCGCTACCCGCTACCCGCGATACCTGCTCCATACATCCTCCTGCCCGCATCGCGATACCAATGGACGAGTTTGCCGAGTTCTCCGCATTCCTCGATACCGAGGCCGCGCTCAGAAATGAGCCCGCAATCGGAGGTCCTCCTGCAATCGGCATGCCCGCCGATGGTGTACCTCTGGACATGGAGTACATCACTGGAAACTCTTCGTCATATTCCTGGTGCACCATTGCGTGAGCCCAGCTCGTACATATACCCCCTGTAAGTCGGCCATACTTCCTGTCAGTTTCCTCCAAGTATGTGTTGCTCACCTTCGTTCTAGATAGACACCTTCTACAACCGGGGTACGCGCGTCAGGCGCAACAACCCCTCTTCGCTCCTTTCCGACATTCCCTTCCTCGACTCTTCGTCTCCCGTATTTATCAATCGTTTCGCCCGATGGTCTTGTGCTGATGCCGCGCATATGCTGTGAGTCTCATTACATGCCTGTTCCGCCGCCTAACTTCATAACTGATATGAGCCTTCCGTACAGCCCGGCTGGACCAAGCAACCGGCGCGGCTCCCTATTTATCAATATATAAAATCTCCTTCGGTATCCCATCACGATCCTTTGATTTCTTGAATCCGTATGCCGTCTGTCTTTGATCTCCTGTGGAATGTTCTCCTTAAGACAGGCGTCCATTGGTGACCCTGGTGACTGTCAATGCATGTATCAGTAGCTGCGTCTCTGTGCCCTGAATGTATTCTGTAGCTTGTCGTAAATTTCTTCATATTCTCTTCCATGGGTGCTCGTCTCCAACACTTCGGTGATTCATGGCTTCATATTGTTCTAGCCGTAAATACAACACGAATTCAGTGTCTTCGAGTAGTGCTCTGTGCCGCGAAAGATAGCATCGGGAGCTTCGATGTGGTAGTTGGCGCACGACAACGCGGCTGCTGCTCGATGGTCTCGCAGCCCCTTCACGCCGTTCGCCATCAGTGTGGCCGCAGTAGGAGGCCGCCCGAGATGTTTGGAAACCGTGTTCAGCGGTTTACACGCGCAGTGTGTCAGCTTCAAGCTGCCGTTATGATTCACAGCAGACTTCTTGCAAGTTGTGAGCAATTGTCTTCGTTCCTGGAGTTGCGAACACGTCGAGCATGCATCATGGGAGGGGCAGATCACGCAATCTGTGGCGCGGTTGACCAAGTCGGTGAGCGGAAAGCGAGGTTCATGGGGGGCACATGAGATGCTGGACAGTCTCTGAGAGCCTCCATTTATATGAAAGCTTCAGGAGACCATGTTGACCCAGTCAACATCAACTACACCAGTGCTCCGGGAGTCTGACTATTGCCCGCGGACGAGTTTGTGGCCTTGGAGTTTACGCCGATCACGATCGAATGTCATAGACGCCCATTTACTGTCGGCCCGGGGATGTCCCCATGGGCGCTTATGATGGCGGGCTATTGTCCGTGGACAATGGTTCTTTATGCTCCCCCGTGTCAGGACGTGAATGAACGCTGCCGGCCATTGTCCGCATAACATAGCAAGCCTAGAAATGTCTTCTGCAATGAGCTTGGGCCACATACTCTGTCGCCGCTTTGCCCTCCTGGTTCTGCCACAATGCGCTATCCTGTGTTTCCGGTTGGAGCATTCCTCGCCGCTTTTCTCGTCCTTATACCTCTACCTGCACACTGGCGCTCTCACAACGTCGCCACAGTCTCTATCATTGCCTGGCTCTTTGCAATGGATGTTATATATGGTGTAAATACCATCGTCTGGGATGGAAACGTTCGCAAGCACCTCCTTGTCTGGTGTGACATCAGTGAGTGTTCCATTCCACCTATCCGGTCTTTGATAGCTAATGGTTCGTCAAGCTACGAAGCTCACGATCGGGGCGTCCGTTGCCCTCCCTGCTGCTACGATGTGTGTCTGTCGTAATCTGGAGCTTGTCGCGTCCGGTCGTATTGCACGTTTAACACGGGAAGACAAGCGAAAGAAGATGTTCTTCGACCTGGCCATGTGCTACGGTCTCCCGCTCATAATCATGGCTCTTCGTGAGTACTCGTCTTGGAGTGATCTGCGCTTAAATTGACATCCACTAGACTACGTCGTCCAGGGGCATCGATTCGACATCTTGGAGTATGTGGGCTGCTTGCCTGCGACGTATTATTCCATTCCCGGAGTGTTCATCATTTGGTTCCCTCCTCTCCTCCTGTCCGTGTTGACGGCGATTTATGCTAGTAAGTCCTATCGTCGCACTCGTCCATCTGTCATGTCGCTAACGTGGTCGCAGCGCTCGCTCTCCATCACTTCTTCCGACAACGCCTCACGTTCACCATGCAGCTCAAGAACTCCAACTCCGCGCTCAGTACCGGGCGCTACTTGCGTCTCATCGCGATGTCGGTAGTTCAGATTGTCTGGCAGACGATCCTCACTGCGATTTCCATGTACGACAATATTTCTCCTGGCCTTCGTCCTTGGACCAACTGGGCGGATGTACATTCGGACTTCGGGCGTATTGATGCCATCCCGATGGTCGTATACCCGGTTTCGTACCAACGGCAGTTCTTCCTCTTCCTCTGGGTTATGCCCGTCTCGTCCTTCGTTTTCTTTTTCTTCTTCGGCTTCGGCGAGGAGGCGCTCAAAGACTACAAGAACGTCGTTAGATGGATCCGCGTCAAGATCTTCAGGCAGAAGCTGCCTGACCCTTCAACGCCACTTGATAGTGGTTTCGCTCGGTTAGTACTCAGCATTATGTCCTTATGTCATGACATGACTTTAATCAGGCTCTTTTACAGGTCTCCAAAGTCTCCCTTGTCGCCCATTAAGCTCAGCTCGACCTTTGATCTCAGCGATGACTACACGCTCCCCGCGTATAGTCCAGCCACCGACCCCTCCTTCACGCCCTTCAGCAAGGACAAGATCGGGCAGAAAATCACATCCCAGTCCGAGCTCGCCTCGCCCGCCTCAGAAACGTTCACCAGCCGATCCCAATACGCCCCGAGCTGCTTCTCGACGGATTCTTCACCATTCATACACATATCCGACGAGTACCCTCCTCCATCACCGCCTGCACCTGTAGTCTCGTTGCCGGTACCAACATACCACAGACCGTTCAGCTCCCCGACGTTTTACCCAGTTCCCTCCTCGCTTGCTCGGGAATCTGACCTTCGGGTCACCGTAGAGACTCGGGTTGAGGTAGAGCATATCGTCTAAAGTATCTCTCTGTTTCGTTCTTCGGATTTCCTTGCCGCACACATCTCGCATCTACCCTATGTATCACTATCATCACGCAATCCATTCACCAACATCCCCATCCCCAACGGCAGTTCTAGCGGTGCTAGAATCCCGTGTCCTCGCCGTCCTTCGTTCTCTCAGCCTCCAACCTCACATCCAGCCTCTTCGCGTATTGCTAGCTCAGCACCTCGTTTGTTTTGCTTACATGTCATTGTATCATTAGCACTACAATACGCAGTCCGGATCTCTCCTAATAAGACCAATTATGCTTTGACGCGGCCTCGAGTGGCACAAAACGCCCATAACGAGGTATGTTGCCTGAATTGACTAGAACACTAACAATAGCTCGGTATGGGGCAATGCATAACAAGAGCGGCCTGCGCGACCATTTCAGCGGACTTGGGTAAGCACTCCGCTGCCGCCTTTTCACGTGTTTACTGATCACAGTACTAGTAGCGGAGGCCCTTGCCACATCCGAGCCGTGCGCACATCCGAGCTAGGCTCGGCGGCACAACATCTGAGCCGCGACCCCATATCTCCCTATAAAAGCGATGGAAAATTGTCAGTACGATCCTCAGAAACACCTCATAACCCGCACAGAAACATCGCTTCACAGACTGCAGCCCTAGGCTGCACCTTCGCGCTTCCCCCGCCCTTTCGCCTTCTATTGCCGCCGCCGAACGTCCACACCCTCACCATCATCATGGACGCTTTCACGACGATCGTTGCCATTGCCACGACAGGCGACGCCAGCGTCGAGTTCACAAGCAACGAGCGCGAGATCACCATGGGTTCTTCGTCATACTCATGGTGCACAATCGCCTAAGCGGCCATCCGCGAGGACGGCGACGGCCCTTTTTTTGTCAATTTCATTGCACATATATTCGGTCTTTGACACAACCACTGCAACCCCCTGGTGAGTCCCGCACTATATCATATTCTCGCTGGCCCCTGACATGGGTTCTATGGCAGGTCTCCGACCGGGCAACCGCTACTTGACCCTCCCTATCCCGGCTCCCGGCCGCTCTCACCTTCCTATTCCTCTCTTTTGCTCTTTTTCGCTTTATCCGTGATTATTCCGGTCCCGTGCGGCCACTTCGCCGCTTATTTATGTACATTATTGGTTGCTCCCTGGCGCCGGGGAGTAGCTGTTCACTTATGATTCTTGACTCTTTTCACGGGACCCTACGACACAACCCACGCTCCTTTGATATCCTTACTTGATTGGATAGACCTACCATACTGTACTGCTTGTAGCTCGAGACTCGCATCAGCGATGGTTTGGTTAGATGTACGATACTCGAGAAGAATGAACAAGAACCAATGTACTATTACTATTTTAGCACCACATCCCTTGCCCGTCGAGTCTCGTCTCATTTCATGCTGTAGGATATCGTCACAGACCAGACGCAGATCGTCCAGTGCTTGTCATCTTGACGGTCGCGCGGGATTTCAATGAGAGGACCACTGAGATGAGCGACCATCGTGATCCCCAGGGTAGATATCACGGTGCGACAACTTTATAGTTGATACATCAGAAGTAGATAGGTAGAAAGAGCAATAGATACAGATGGAAGGAAGCCCAATGTGATCTACAGAGATGCGTCTCGAGATGGCGACGCCAAGTGAGTCAGATTGCCGGTAAAGAGTGGCAGGGAGTACATGCGCATTCAAGATTCGACCGACTATAAGTGAGAGATGTCCATTGAGTTCAAGCCCGCCGTTGGATGTAGGACGTAAAGCGTTCGCTGTTTTTCCAGAGGTAGATGCACGCTAGGAGGTCGCTGAGGGACGTCCCCGTACATTGGTGGCAGAGACTCCCGCAAGAACTGGGGCAGAGCGTTCTGCGGGTTTGCTTTCGAAGGGAGAACAGGAAGACCAGCCATTTCTTCCCCGGGTATTCGACCCGCCTTGGCTTCCCAGTCCTCGATCTGGTAGTGAGAAAGCCCAGACGCACGACCGTCACGCGGGAGAACACGCATCGTCCTAGGTGCGCGCCGCCTCCGGAATCGAGCACAACCAAATCGAGCCGCCACCCAGGAGATAGCCATCTTGTAATGCTCCAGCGCCTCCTCGGTGAAGCCGAACATGAGAAAGAAGAGGAACGCGCAAGCGATCGGGGTCCATATCCTGAACATGACCACCGCCACGCCGGCCTGGTCCGCGCGCCAAACGATGGCCGCGATGGAGTCCACGCGCCCAAAGCCCGAGTGCAGGTCCGCGAGGCCGACGTAAGTGTACATCGCGTTCGCGCGGGTGTTGATGACAATCATGTAGATGGTGAGGGGGATCGTGCAGAGGAGGTCAGCGAAAGCGAGCGCCATGAGGCGGTAATAGCGACTGGTTGTGAGGCCCGGCTCGACGAGCGTGAGCCGCCTGAGGTCTCTGGTGCGGTCGAATGCGGCGCGGAGCGCGAGGACGGCAAAGACGGCAGAGGTCAGCCCGATGGGCAGCGGCCAGGAGGTGTTGAGGAGGATAGAGAGGAAGGTGTTGGGGTAGGCCTCCATGCAACCGACGCCTTCGTAGATGTTGAAGCGGTGGCCTTGGTAGAACCAGACTGTGAGAGGAATATGAGATTTCAGAGGGAGCGAGGCAGAGAAGGGTGATTCTCGACTCACAAACTGCCACAGCCAACAAGGGTATACCAAGTCCGACGAAGAGGTCAATGATAGTATTGCGTCGCCTTTGTGCTCTAGTGAGGCTTATTGCGCTCATGTTGACGATATGATACAGGCGGTGAGTAATCACGAGTGTGGAGGAGACAACGCCTATACCGCTCGCAATATAGAAGCGGATGTCTGCGGCGATGGTAGATATCGCAATCAGAAACGCTTATATCCTACAACAGAGGGAACCACATACATATATCGCACCAGACAGGGGCGAAGTTGATCGCATTCGTTCTCCAAAGGAGCATGTTGATCCCATTAGCCAAGCACACGCCTCCGATCCAGAAAATGTATAAAATGCATCCGATGTTCCATGCTGCACGAACGAGGTTAGCCAGCTCAGTGGGTACGCACAGGAGAGTAGTACTGACATTTTAGCTGCCAAAGGAGAGGTATCGTGATTAACACAAAGCCTAAGAGCGAAAGCGCCGCCGGGGCGTCGACCTGGGCGATCCAGTAAGGCGCCATAACGAGGAAGAGAAAGGGATGTGGATTCTTATACGACTTGTGCTTGATGCAGCCGCTATGCGCCCGCTGATGGGGTCTAGACAGCAGGGGGAGACATCGCCTAGCGGCAAGCCAGGGACGTCGGTAGGAGCCTCCATGCATGACCAAATCGGGTTGCCCTTATAATTGGGCGTTACATGGTCGTCCCATCCCTTCAGACTACCCTAATCGTTCCTGCATTCAGCTCTTCATCATAGCTAATGGACCATAGGAATGCTCGAGGCAAACAGCAGCGTTATACAGGCAGGCCCTCAAAGCTTCAAGCTTCGCGGATGAGATACCTTTCTGCTCACGTCCAATGTACTAGCTACCCTGTGACATCCCCACCGGCTGACAACTGTCAGTTCTTTACGTCTGCCGAGAGTGGGCGTAAGGCACGATACTGAGAGTACGTACACGAGGTCCGGTAATTCCTGGCCACGTTCAAGTGACCGGGTCTGTATGGCAGTATATGCAAGTCCGTATGGGGAGTGCCAGCTCGCGTGGTTTCGTGTTTCAGGTACACGAATGCAGTAAGTGACTTTCAGGGGACCGCTGACACTCCTCCGCTTGTGCTAGCGGGGAAGAGCGGACCTCGGAAGGGCGAAGCCCGACCGCAGCCCGCGATAAACCCCATGAGGAAAGCGGATGAATCCCTCGAGTGAATGCGAAGGCTGCATCGGAGTACTATGGTCGACTGTTGATCAAAAGTATCTCAATAGGGCCGCTCAATTCTTGAGGACGCAGGACGCACTCAGAGCTCATTTGATGGATGTGATGGGCTAGCCGAACCTGCCGCATATGGCAAGGTACCAACCTCATTTCTCGTGCCCGTTGTTTTCCAAGGGGTCTGTCGTGTCCCAAACCTCGCAGAAAAATATGAATCGCAAGTATGTTGAGGACGAAAGCTTTCCGCGTCGATTGACACTACCCTCGAGGCACTTTGTGAGGGGGGAGGAGTGTCATCGTCGCGCGAGGGGTTTCGAAGGCAAGCTTGTCGGCTAGTCTCGCTTAGCCCATCACCTCCATCAATGGCCTCTGAACGCGTCCTGCGTCCTGCGTCCTGAAGAATTGAGCGGCCCTAATAGCTTATGCTTTGGAGGTGACTCTGACAGCAGGTGTTGTCCGCGAGCTCACTTTGCAGTCGTACTAGCCCAGCACCTGATATACATGGCGCGTTGAGGTCGGGCGCCAGTCCGGCCGATGCGCGCAGTAGCCTTGAGCTCACTATACTAGCCCAACCTTGCTGGACACTACCAGTATATATTGACTGAGCTGAGGCGGGAATGTGAAGTATGCGACTATGGCCAGGACCGCCCGGAGGGCCCTACCCCCTATGACAGAACAAGGGGACAGTAACCCAACGTATAGTCACCTCGCTTGAAGCTAATGATGACTTCCTGACATTTAGTTATACGATGAGCACAAGCGGCTCCGAGCTCTGGCAGCCCCTTTATGAGATATGAGGTCAAATCTCATGAGACAGGACCTGATTCCTTGGGATGCGAGCAAGTTTCGTCGCAGCGACTGAGATGAAGGCAAACATGCAATAACCATTCCCCGGGAATACAAAGTGAGGGGAAGACGAGGTAATTCTGCACGAGCCCCAGTAATGACACCGGGATACATGATTACGTGTCATATCCGCGTTTCCGAGCGCGATTGGTTGGGGTACTCACCGACAGCGGCTTTTGTGAAGGTACCTGGTCGCTTGTTTCCGTTCACAGAAGCATGTTGCGACGCAGCGCATCAAGCGGTATCTGTCGCATACACAGTCAAAGAGACTTTCTTTCATGATTCACGGACAAGGATGAAACATTGGCAAGTAGAACTTCATCGCTCGCGTCGAAGGCTCGTCGTAATGAGGAGAGTAGGTTCTTCCAGCATCGTTATCAATGGAGAAGCTTGCCGCAAGTAGTATCGGGGTAGTAGCACAGCTGCAGAAGCTATCAGAAGGTGATGCCGGGACCCAAGGGCAAGCAAGGCGAGAGTTAGCTGATGGTAGAACGTAAAACAAGGGGCCACATATTCGGCCACGGCGCTTGGCTCCTTCCGGCGTCCTCCGGAACGTGGTCACCCGAAGTGTGAGCGCTTCTAACCTCAGGTTGTGCGAGGACCAGACTAACATTTTGCCTGTGCAGGCCCATGATCAGGATTGCGTGAACGAGAACCGGGCACAAGCTTCTCTTCCATTTTAGATAAGAATTTGAGTCCACGAGTAGGACGGCGGCTCGAAACCATGCTCGAGATGCGTATGTGGTTTCTTCGACGAGACGATCAAGCAGGCTTACGAGTCACGGCGAACAGAGATCGCCTCATCAGTTTGTCTTGCAAACTTCACTAGCGAACATTCTGACATGTTCATCTTATGGAGACTCCGCAGCGTCGCGTTCTTGACGATGTTTACTGGGAGCACGCAACTAGATTTAAGACTCAATGTCCGCTAGAAATCGGCACCCAACAGTGACTGTCTCTTACGCTGTCTTCAAGTTTGCGATCTGCATTTGGTGTGATACACACATATGTTGATACAATCGAGACTACTCTAAGTCGGAGACTCTGCATGAGGTGAGTCACTTTGGCACCGCCAAATCAGTCACAGAATGTGATATCCAGGTTGACCTAGAGCGAGAAGGTGGTGTCTTGCGAATCAACATTGTTCCCACACTGCATAAGGAGAAGTGATAACTCACGTTGTCAACTTGGCAGGCCTTTTGCACTCCCGTCTGGTTCGGGTCATGGAACGCATCCGGGCAGTTCGCGTCCTTGCAATCGGCACCTACACCGTCGCAGCCGCCGGAGTACCTGGATGAAATCATGTGTCTTGAGATATTAGATACGAAGTTCAATCCATTGTTTCACGTACACAAAGCCTGAAGTAACGCTGAAGGTGTGGGGCGGAATCAGGCTGATGTCAGCGGAGGAGCCTGAACCCGGAGTAGTCGGGTTCTTCAGCGTGGCCTCGACGAGCGTGCAGCCTTCGCCGTCCAATCCGCAGCTGCCTATCAGCAGGAAATCATCAGTATGACATCTCATTCGCAAGCTATGTGGTACGGACCTGTCTGCAAGTAGCTGAAACGGCGTGAATTTATGGTGACTGCAGAGTAACGATACTGACTCACGCGATGGCAGAGATGAGAGGTCCATTAGAGACGAAGTCATTTCCCGTGGAAAGAATCTTCCCATTCTGAACGAGAGTCGGCTGATAAAAATGTGAGTTTTGAAGCTACTGTGAACATCGTATGGCTTGCTCTAGCGGCTTACAGTGCCATGGCCACACCTGGTGAAAGTTGTCAACACGATAGATCAGCTATGAAAGACGACATTACGTACTGATTGTTGAAGTGCACAGTGTGCGATTCGGCCATGGCAGAGCCAAAGATGGTCGCAACAGCTACAAAGGAGGTGACGAACGAGAAGTGCATATTGTGAATGGGTTGAGAAAGTGCGATCTGGGCTTGGGGAGGTCGAGAGAACCGGATGGTTCTGGGGCATCGTACAAGCCAGCCTATTTATCTTCTTTTTACTCCGCCGATGCTCCCGTAATCCCTGTGCTCGCCATCGGCATACCTGTGGCAAAATGGAGATGCATGAGGAGTAGGCACTGCTCATGAACGCCTTCTTGGAGCTGCTTCGACGTTTGAGCGTTCACCTCAAAGCTCTTCTTGTCGCGTAGGCAGTCGTGGTTTCCCCAGCGCAGCTTGTGCAGATGGAGCCTCCGTTAGACTTCGGAACGCTGCAGGGGGTCTGAAACATATCAGAAGCGTGCTCCACACTCATGATCTCTCCGTAGTATGCAGCCCGAGAAGTGGTCGGGCCCATCTAGAACCGACGTGAATGCTTCAATGCACCTTGCGACCCACTCACTGGTGAGATTTCGTCGCGTCTGCACGGAAAAATTTCAATCCCACTGCTTCGGCAGCTCATGAAAATGATGCTGTTGGTATCAGCTGACGCCCTTATGCCGCTAACACTGGCTGTGAACAGTTGTGGCGCGTACTGTCTCCATGTGAAGAACGCAGCGGCGTTCTGCCTCTTGTGCGCGAGCGCTCATGCGGCCCGATGGACACCTCTGCCTGTGTCTCTCCGAATGGCGGTCATGAGTCTGTCCATCTGTTCTCGCGTCCGAGTGCGGCGGAGGTGTCTATCTTGCATGATTTGCCACCGGCATCGACGGTTGGATGTCAATGCGCCAAACGCCTCATGGGACGTTGGAAAATCACTATCTGCTGGAGCAGACCATGACGTAGGCTCAACTAGATTTCAGAGCTCTTTGCATGTGGCTGCCGCTGTACAGCTCCCCAGGTGCTAGATGAAGAAGAGTACTGACTGAGGACTGACGCTGACGCCTTACATTAATCCCGAGTGGAATGGGCATCAGGCCGTGGAGTAGCTCCACGGTGCTCAATAGAGCGAAAGCCGCTCTCCGAAAGAGGCTGACAGGCCGACTGATGCTCCGCACATGACGGGCAGTATGCGGTGAGGTTCAGCACTTCTTTGCACCGACGCGCCTCGCTCGAGTAGAAGTTCGTACGTCTGCCATAGCGAGAGCGCACGTCAGCGACTCGGATGCAGGTAGGATCGAGCTGAACCAAAGTACGTGACTAGCGAAATGAAAACTAGTATGTATCGGCCTATCGCAGACAGACAGGGAAGTCACATTATGTACCGGACAATTCGGACTTACTCGTCGGTCTGTAGGGGTGAGCCGCGCAGTACGGCGGTGGCGATCCAAGACAACTTCGACCGCCTCGGCACCGCGCAACGAACTCTTTGGAGGCGAGGTTACGCTAAGCTGACGTCGGATTCAAATTGCTACGATGCAGACCTGACCTGGAGATAGGACCGAGGGCGATGGAATTGCCCCTGCGAACAGCCGGGAGAAGAAGACAGCGACCGATAGACCGCAGCGATATTCGCCCCACCGTATGTCACAGAAGTGGTGCGACCAGCAGCATCTTATGGCACATTTGTTGGGGCGGGTGCAGGTTGGCAACGTTGCGGAGCGGTCTTGACGCGAGGATACCTGACGTCGGCTACCGCGAAGCCAGAGCTTCTATTCGGTCGAGTTCTGGCAGGGCCTTGACCAGCTTTGTGTCTCCTTGTATCTGCGCGCTGTGAGACAAGGTCATGAACATCTTCCTGTACAATACCCATCATCTGTGTGATCGAGCGAGATACATGAAGGATATATTCGAAAGCACTCCATCGTAGCAAGCTAGCTCAAGGACGCGCCGATCCACATCTTTGATGCAGACCTTTGCCAATGCACCCCTGATATATGTAGGGAGATTCCATGATAGCGGCAAGGAGCACATTGTCTGCCCTGGGGTACTATCATGCCTTCGCCTCCTTAAGGCGACAAGGACTTTGCTTGGCGAGCCCGGGATAGTAGTAGCAACTGTTGAACCCGGGGGGCGAAGGCCTCTCCCACGGGTGGCAACGACAGCGGATAGCCTGCAACTCACCTAGAAGGGTTGTTGGTTGTAAGAGGCTTGTTAGAGCGATGAGAGGAGATGTTCGAGTGAACTGAACTGAACTGTAGATTGGGGGTACAGAGGTCCCCTATATATACTACTGTACATCTGTGGCTACGTAGTACTATACAGTACATTCCCAGGATGCACAGTCGCACAGAGAAGCAGTGCGTACACAGCAAAGCTGTGTGTGTACCACATGAGTAGTACAGCCTCGGTTATTGCAGTAACCGGCTGTGCCGTTCCATATCTTGTGACGGCTGTGTTAGGCAAGCTGTGTAAACCAGCGCCTGTTCAACACTCCCCCTCGCTAAGTATCCGAATGGTTACGCAAGCGTAGCAGGCGCTTTAAGCAGCTCTGGACTTTGGGAAGCGGAGACCAAGTTGTGAGCGAAATTTCAAGAACTTCACTA